CAGATACATACATAAGTATGTAAATAAATAACAATTAAAAAAATTAATATTAGATATAATGTATTAGAAACTAATCTACTAATACACATATTAAAAAAATAATAGCAGTGTTTATTGGTCCTTATTATCTATAAAATATATGTATATAGTATAAAAAAATATATATATGTTAATGCTGTACATCATGAATATAGAATAAGATCTTCTACATAAAAGTCGTAGATGGTCGTGGAGTGTTAAGTCGTAGGAAACTGATCAATTCTAATCGAGTATTCTCCTTATATTCGATTGTGATTGGTTGGTTTCCTACGACTTAAGACTCCACAACCATTTACGACTTCTGTGTAGAGAACTTTTTAGTATTATTTTCCTAGGAAAAAACCTGGCATTAGGGAAAAAAATGTTTTTTTAAATGGTATTCCATTTTTTTTGCTCTAATCTGTTTTTAAAAGCCTCTATTTGATATAACACAAAATATAAATCACTTCTTTTTAAAAGATACATTCAATTACAGAATGTCACTTAATACTACTTAAATTTTGTTTAGCATTTTTAAAGCTAAACATGAAAAACAAAATATATTAAGCATTTAAAAAGTTAAAAAAATATACAAGCTTAAAATAATAATGAACATTTTTGTGAAAGTGGAAATATACAAGAAATTAGTAATCAGAAAAAATCTTTATAAATAATCAATTTTATTATTTACTTCACACAAGATAATATCTATATTGTAAATATAATGTAAATTGCAAATAAAGCATCAAATAAAGTAACTCCTGCAATGCTTTTTGCAATATCAAATAAAGCAATTACAAGTTCTTTGAATCTTCTACTTTTAAAATCTTTTAGACAATTTTTTTCTCTAGCAACTTGAAGGTATAATTTCATGTGTTGCTATTCCAGCGACTAAAATTTTGTAGTACAAGCGTCAAACATTCAAACACTGCTGCATCTTATCGAACAGATCTTATTGGACAGCGTTGACCACAATATATGTAACCTAATCTATTCTTTTTCTTCACTGCTGATCCAGATAAAAGAATTCAGTGCAATTGGAATAACTTAATTGCTAATAATAATTTGAGATATTGTTATAATAATTCTATGACAAAAATCATTATTTAATCTTTTTTGTCATTAAAACGGTCAGTTTAAGTGGCTAGTGAAAATGCATCTTAATTCTTATTTCTTTCATGTAGCATGGAACATTCTAGCAATGTTGCTGAAATGTTCCATGCTATCTGCATTCAGTAGCATGGAACATTTCAGCAACATTGCTAGAATGTTCCATGCTACATGAAAGAAATAAGAATTAAGATGCATTTTCACTAGCCACTTAAACTGACTGTTTTAATGACAAAAAAGATTAAATAATGATTTTTGTCATAGAACTATTATAGCAATATCTCAAATTATTATTGAAATATTCTATCTTATTTACTTAAGTATTTTTATACAAACCTTTGTATATATAAATTAAGATATAATTAAACTTAATATATAATTAAGTTTTTTTAACATTAGTAAAAGAACATCTCTCTGAGGCTCTGTTTTGTATACTGCCAGTACTGAAAATTTATACATAACATAAACCAAAAATTTTCAATACTGATAGTATAGAACAAGGCCTGATTAAATTAATTATTAATAAATAATAAAAATAACTCTAAACAGTTATTTTTGTTAAACAATTCTTATTGAGTGCAATAATGAATTAAAAAGAGAAAGCAAATAATAAAGGAGAGAAGGAAAAGGAAAATAAATCAGGATTACAAAGAGATGAGAGAAAATTAGAAAAAAAGGGGAAAAGAAATAAACAAAATATTTCGAAATTACTAAATAAAAATCAACAATTACTTTTAGAGCAGATTTTAGAGATTCCAATAAAAAACAGCAAACTATGAAATAATTGGAATAGTTTATCATCAATAAATCGGCATCTGTCAAGAATCATATACATAAAAAAAACCGCGAAAAGCTTGCGCAAAAGAAAACTTTCTTTACCTTCCTCCTCGTCGTCGCTCTCCTCCACCGCCTTCAACTTTCTCAGTTTTTTCTTCTCATTCTGGTCCAACTCCTCCTCACCCTATAATATACAATCGCACACGTTATTAGTACCAAATGTCATTGCAGCGCTTCGTCGTACAAGATTTTTGCGTAGGACCTCCCGTAGCGAGAAAATGGAAAGAAAAGACTTTACCTCGCTCACGTCCGCTTCAGAGTCGAGATACTCTGCCATGCTTCAGAGTAACGACGATTTAATCTCGTGTAAAATTTTGTATGCGTTGCTTCGTCTCAAAATCGTATCGTTTTAAAGAATCAGCAACACGACGAAATAACAAGATCCTTCAACGTCCACCTTCTTCCATATTCTTTCGTAGAATGGCCTAGAATGGCCGGAGAATATAAGGTATGGCCTAGTTTACATTATACACTTGATACAGATACTAGAACTAGTAACTTTCTATTGAATAATCTTAATTTCGGCGATATGTTAAAACATATACATTTAATTAATCATTATGATGTATATTATATCAATTTAGTACATCATTCTTTAAATACATTGCTGAAATTAAAATAATTTAATAGAAAGTTACTAGTTAACGACACAGTGCACGATGTAAACTAGGCCTATTTTTATTTTCGAGAATGCGCACTACGCGCAGCTGTACATTCTGGAACATGGCAACTGATTTTTGACCAATCAAAACGTTGCCCCAAATATTGTAAAAAGAAATATTGGTCTATTTTTGGTTCCTGAGTATCAATCATGAAACTTTATTCCTAAGATGGAAAGTGAAAAATAAAAATTTTTACCATTGAAATTAATAGAGAAAATTTTCATTTTCTATCCTAGGGATAAAGTTTCATGATTGGTCTAGTTTTCACCGAGAGTTTAATCCGGATTAGAATGTAAAAGCAACCAACTACAGTATTCCTTGTTATGTCTATTGCACATTGGATGCGATAAGCGACGAGCGATATCCAATAAGAGCTTTGCTTTATGTCGTCACGAGAAAAAGCACAGCTTTTATTGGATATCATCGTTCATCGCCCATCGCGTCTAGTGTGAACTAGACATTACAATCGAACGACAGGGGAATGTTTTCTCGATGGAAATTAGGCTATTGATACCCTTCATTAGACTACACTAGAACTTCGTTTCATGCTTTTATCAAATATTAAACATGTACCTATCTCACTTTAAGTTCTAAAAGTTCAGCTACAAAAAACAGACCTCTTAATTGCTAATATGGCTGTGTTCCAAAATTCACTGCCAGTGCTAAAAATGTATAATATACGCCGATAATAACATAGGCCGATATATTGTATATCGAAAGAATAATGACTGCAGAGTGATTGGTAGCGCTGTTCCGCTGTAAATTTTCGATCCATGATGGAACATCAGCTTATAGGACTTGCACACAATAGAACAAATATTAGGAACAGGAATACGTATTAAGATTTCAATCTATCAGATATCAGTTACATCGGAATACACGGTTTCCAGTAAGTTGGAATATTAATGGCCGTGTTCCAAAATTGTACTAAAAATCTGTAGTATACGTAAAGACTTAAACACAATAGACGAACGAGCTGTCCAATCAGAGCTCTGGAATAATATCGAATTTATATATCAGAGCTCTGATTGGACGGTTTGTTATTTCCTGTTGTCTGTGTCTATTGCCTGTGTCTATTGTGTTTAAGTACGTAGGATCTAAAATACACAATACGGAAATGGAATGGAATTGTTTACAATTGGTTTACAACGAATTCAGAAATTTTAGAATACAGAGTGCCAGAGAGAAGCAAAAAAAAATAGAGAAAATATCGTTTTATCACGTTGGAGAGAAGTTTGAAAAAAAAGAAACTAATTTATAAAACGGAAAGAAATACTCTTCCTCTGATTTTGTTAAACGGATAATTAACGAGAAATTTTATTTCTTAATCACACAAATATGATATAATTATTTCTTGTAGAAAAAAAAATAAAGATACCGATATGTCTACTCTGTTGACAGAAAATAACTTCGAATGTCGGTTAGTTTTATCTGTTTTATGTTTGTAATAAAATAAAGTAAATAACAGAAATGATTATGAAAAAGAAATTTGCTTAGAAAGTTGTTATATTCTATCATATACATTTAAATATATCGAAAAAGAAATGCTTTAATAATGATTTGATATTTTATTTAGGGTGAGTTCTGTGCTAAATAAGAATGTTCAATCTTATGGAAAAATGTATATGTTTGATAATTGCAGTGAAACATGTTGGAATTCTGATGCAGTAAGTAACCAAGTTTTATTATGAATCAGTTCTTCATATACTTGACTATATATTTTAATATGACAAACATAATATAACATATAATATAAATAACAGGGAAGTCCACAGTGGGTTCTTATTAACTTTAAAGAAGAATGCAGTCTTTCCAGTTTTGAGGTTGAATTTCAAGGTGGATTTGCTGGAAAAAATTGTCATATAGAGGCTGGTAATGACAAAAAGGAGTTAATAGTTGTTGAATCTTTTTCTCCTGAAAATAAGAACAAACTACAGCGATTTAATTTAAAAAATCAGGTCAGAGCCAAAGTTTTTAAATTTGTATTTAATGAAAGCACTGATTTCTTTGGCAGGATCATCATATACAATTTATCATTATATTCGTGATATCCATTTTAATGTCTTAATTATAATTCTGTACATTACAAAACAAGTGTTTATATAAACACAATCTTTGTAAAACAATATTTATTTTAATAAAATTTATATTACAATTTATTATTTATATTACAATTTATTGTTTGTAAATTATAATAGAACTTTTTATAAATGTATATCTAATTTGTTTAATCATATAAAGATTTTTTGGGCTATACGAAGATGATTTTGCATAACACAAACTATTTTTTTTTTAATTAAAATAGTTTATTTTATATAAAATGATTTATTCTACTTAAAATAGTTTATATTATATTATATATAAAATGGTTTATTCTATTGATAATGTAATTAAGTACAATATTAATATTACAAGTATAAATCCTAAATGCTTGATAAAAACGATTATTTCAACGTTAAGAGAAACTTATTAGATGATTTTTTTCATTGAGCCTCGCTTTGGATTGGTTGAGCACTGGGTGGTCGAACTGAAGAAAGAAACACAAATATTTGTGATACTATTTGCTTCCACCTGCTATTCTTATATTTTATCAGTCTTACTTGTGCAGGATAAAGGTTGAAATTTTATATCGTCAACAGCGAAGCCTCCATTACTGGCGCTTCCCTCAAGAATAAGTCGATATGGAGTTCGCGCTTCAATTGCCACTTGTGCCGCCATCCATACCGGTCGTGGATTATTTAATCCTTTGGCTGTCAATGACCATAACTACAATAATAAAATTTAAAGGTTTAGAAAAAAATGAATCAAAATAAACCACATCTCTGTTTCATAAAAAATGCTCGTTCCATGCATTTAATATTAAAATTGAAATTAAAATTTATTTTATACCAGAGAGCTCAAAAGAATATACAATAAGTGATATTTTAAATATTATATTCAGTTTTATATGTAACATTCATACCGGTTGCTCCTGTTCGCCTTCACTCTCTCCCTCAGTTTCTTCGGTAGGCATTTTAATTACTCGTAGAGTGGTAGACTCCTCCACGCCAAAAGCAGCGAACCAAAAAGTGAAACATACAAACTCTTCATCGGGCGAAGCATTAATGATAGGCGATTGTAATTGAACCTTCGTTGATTCCTTGTTTGTTGTAAAGATGTCAAAGAATACAAAATCGCCAGGCGCACCAAAAGTTCTGTCCAATAATTGAGCCGGTCGATGGGTCTGAAACGCACGCTGCCACATTACAGCACGGTTATCAGAAATAGTTATGTTCTCCCATCCACATAAATCCTTCTCAAAGCTACAATCTTCTAGACGAACGACTGCACTCGTTGGTTTCACTGTATGTAAATATAAAACATAAATTTAATGTATAAAATTAGGTAAGAGAGAATAGTACTATACTTCAAAAGAAATAAATATTTATTTCAGAAGAAAGAAATGAGAAAAAGGGGAAAATTATTTACCACTGCAATTTCCGGTATAAAAGGAGATATCATCAATTCCTATGCTACCAGTAGCTCTGTTTGGACCCCAAGTGCCCTCAAATACGATATTAAAGTCTGTATTTTGATTGATGTTAGCTTGAGCGTAGTTCCATGTGGGACCTTGATTATTGTATAATTGCCATATAGGTTTAGCTTTCGAACTATCACTCTCTGTTTGCACGTATAATCGCAAAACTCCTATAAAATTAAAAACATTGCTCGCATTGTATCGGTAAATTGCATTCATTTTGAAAGGAATCAGACTAACAACAATCAATTCTATTGAACTGAATTTTTAGATTCTCTATTTTTTTTTAAAGATAATACCATTTAAATCAATTAAGAAATAAAATCATTGTAATAAAATCATTAAATAAGGAAACATGAAATCTAAATCATAAAAAGTTACAAAATTAATTATTCATTTCAAAGATAAAATATTCTCTCTCTCTCTCTCTCTCTCTCTCTCTCTCTTTCTCTCGCTCTTTCTCTCTCTCTCGATCAAATATTTCGATTTTTTTAAACTCTACCTAAACTAGGTCCTGTGGAATCAATGAAGGGCTCGAACATAAAATACCAAAATGTAATGCAGGACGTTTCTTCGGAAGCCTTCATCTGTCGACTGACTAGCTGAGCGGTACCACCTCCAGATGATCGTGGACCACCTCGAAGACGTCCAAGGCCCAAAAAATATTCATTGCGTCGATTAATTGTGTGTCCACTGCTGTACGGTTTCCTTTGATTCCTCGGGCCTAACACCTGAGTAAGATTCTCTTTCCCAATCGACACGATCTGGATCTCGTGAGTTAATCCACTCACATTCATCAATCTCAAAGGTGCAATCCCGCGATATCGGAGCAGCCACTTGAGGTGAAACTATCAAATCAATACAAAGGGATTAAAAATCGGTTTGTGAAATCAAGTACTGATCGATGTAATGAAGCAAGAGATGAAATATTAGTTTAATGTCAAAATGATACATACTATTTATTCTTTCAAAGCGTCCCAGATTTGATTCCGAGATTTATTTCATATGTTAACTTTTCATCAAATTATAGGTAAAAAAACAAAAAAGATAACACTGTGACTCATAATTGATGTCTACTGATTGCTGAGAGTCGAGACATTTGCAAGACATAGGCAACGTCTCGACTGTCATCAGTCAGCAAATTTAAATTTATTATGTATATCATAGTATTAGCTTTCTTGTTTCCTTCCTTATAATGCGATGAGAAAACAATTTCAAGCAGAAAATTTGTATCAGTATATAGGATAGACTTCAGAATCGAATCCGGAATGCTTCGAGAGATTAAATGCAAATCAGCCATTTTAATATTAAGCTAACATTTTTAAAGCAGACTCAGATCTTAAAATGTGTTTGAAGAAAAATATGATGAGACCGCCTTATATACAATATCATAAATTTGGAAACACTTACGATTTTCTCGCTTTTTATGTACATTAAGGTATCTTGGCGAAAATAATCATAAAGAAGTTTTTGCATTTTAAAAAGAAAAAATAGAGGTTTTTTCTAAAGTAACAAATTTTGTCTATATGAAATTTAGTTCCTGAATTACATTAAAATTTCCGATGAAGTCCGCATTCTTCGTGGCTCTATGGGTTAGATTATCCACTGAGCACATCTCCAGGTGGCGGATCGGAGGACGTCCGGAGGAAGTATCAGTCTCCGGGTGTGAAACCCTGCATGAATCCCTCCGAACAGTGGTGGCTATAAACGGTTCCTCAGATATAAAATCTTGCATGGGGCCAAGGCGTGATCCACTGCCGCGGATCACCCTCCCCCCACCAAGTTGGGAGCTATCTAGGCGAGAGTTACATGGCACTGAGGAAGCAGTGTCGCTGTCAATGGCTCTAGGGAACCGGACGAAATCCCAGAATATTTAGCCTTACCCACGCATGTGGGGCTCTGCGTGAGCAGCGTGAGTGGATCATTTAGTTCCTTAGATACTTGTGGGATCAAAATGGATCTTAGTCGAACATCAAATGAAGTTAGCATGGAGGTCGAGAATTTGAACAGCGGGACCTTGGAGACCGAGGCTGGAATGATTGCGGCTGAAAAAGCTCGTTTAGGCCCTGGAGGCATGGCGGTCTCTAAATCAGGATCAGCTGACACTGAGGATCCTGTCCTTTTAAGAAGAATCGCAATAGAGCGGAAAAGAGAGCCAGGCGGGAGCGGAAGAGAGCTCTAAAAGGGCTCTTATCTGCCCTGCAGGTTCTCCTCGCACACCAATTAGGTTGACTGAGGGGCACATCAATGATAAACGTTGGCTCCAATGAAATCTCTCTTTCAATAGAAAGACTTATTGTTAGTGAAAGGAGCAATAGGACCCAAAGTAGGACTTATGCGGACGCCAATTTAAAGTTATTATATTATTTAAAGTTTTATTTTTTTCTTCCTTAAAATGCGTTTTTAAAAACTTCTATATTTTTTTTCATCGAGATATTTAAGTTTTTGGAAAATACAAGAAAACCGTAAGTATTCCCGAATTTATAAAATATATTTTCAATTTATTAGCAAGAGAATCTCAACTTACTACAATTAACATTTGTAAAGATAGTTTTACGCGAGCAAATATGAAATCTAATTTCTCGTTTTAATGTAAATTTTAAATAACACTTAAGAACCTACCAGGGCAAGCACCTGGCCCATACGAAATATCATCGATTGCGATGTCCCCCATGCCAGTGATTCCTACTGATGCTTCAAAAACTAGCTGATAATCATCGAGGGAGCTGATTGTAACTTGTGACATGAACCAGGCATTGCCCGCATTTCCGGACAGACCCCAAATCTCTTGTAGCTGTGTATCTGAACTGCGAAAATGACGTAGAAATAACTTTAGGTAACCGATTCCAGTTCCAAACATGTGGAACCAGAAATGCATGCACATTGGTGCATCCAACATTGTTGCTGGGAAGCTCGAACTTATGAGTTTCGCCGTGTCGCCAGGTCTTCGCGGGAATCCGGAATCAATGAAAGCGTAACCACCGGCTGTGGCACGGTCGCTGGAACTATCCATTGCTGGACCGGTCGTGGGATTTGCGCTTCCACGACTCTAAAAATATATATTCTCAAACTATCAACATATAAGCGCTGAATAATAAAGTTACATAAAACTTAATAGCACTCACTATAGTCCAGTCGAAATCATCTTCCGCATCATTGTTCCAGTCACAGAAGCCAGCGGCAAAATTACAGAATCCAACGCACGACGTACCAGGCTGCAGATCTATGTCGTCGATAGCGATATATCCGCGATACAGACGCGATGGATCCGTGGAGTCTACTGGCACGCCTTCAATAACTATCTAATTGGCAAAATTTTTATTATTTTCTAGAGACACTGATAATATTGATAATATTGATAATCATGAAACACGAAGCGCTGAAAATATGAGCAATATATAGAAAATTATAGTTTAGAAGAAAAATTTGGTATGTTCCAATATGATGAGTTGTGACTTTGACAAATAAATTATATATTTGTAAATAAATTTGAAAATCTCTCTAATATTAATTTTTTCATCGAAATTTATATCTTCAACTTATATCTATTGAACAATCACTACGCTATTTGAATAAACTACAAAAGCAGTTGGAAAACATGATATATTTCTTCAGTATCAATAATTTTAACATAAAGCTAATTTTCTGTACTAATTATAGAACTTCGTGTTTACTAATTAAATTTTGACTGAATCAAGTTACAATAATGTACCGAGTGTAATTCAGGATAAGTATAAAGTATTTGAGCCTGCTGCCATGCTCCGAGCGTGTAATATTGCGCGTGCCACATTACGCGCTCGTCTACGATTTCTGGCAGATTTGCCGGTTCGCAAGACACTGTGATATTTTCTACAGGCAATTCCTCTGTCACATCTGGCTGTTCCTTTTTAAATGAGAACGCGTCCGTTCCAACATGAAGCAATACTCGTAGTCCTGCGATACTGAGACCGTCCATGGTGTATTTGAACATAAAACAAGTGCCAGATACCCCGGTGCTGCCCAATTGCGGACTGTGTAAAAGACCTCCGGAACTCTTGAACTTCACATCCTTTGAAGGTACCTGTGATGTCTCCAGAAAGGCATATCTAATACATTAATTTATGTTCAAGATTATCCAGTAACACAAATGATAAATATAACATAGCAAAACTCATAAAAATATATGTGGCATGATGTATGTATAATAGAAGAATTATGTATCCTATGGAAAGGATATATAATTTTTTTACAACACAAAAGAAGAAATCCATATCCAATTTTTCTAATAGTCGTAATCTAATATAATTGCAGTTAAAGGACAAGAATCTTAATTTAATACTGAAGAAAATATATGATTCTTGTTATATATTTCTATTATATTAATTAAATGGCAAATATCTTCAGCGACTTTTTTACCCTCCCTCCATTGAGCCGCTAGCATCGCCCGATGGTCCACCCAACCAGTTGGTGCCCATTCCAGTTCCTGAAGTCCAATCCAAAGCACCATTGCCATTTTGCCATTCGCAAAGTGGCATTGACGGTGATGGCCCGAAATCGCAGAAGACTTCCTCGACAGTGACCGTCGGAGGTGGTGCAGTAATCGTAGGAAATCTTACAAACGTAAAATTGCGAACAGCATATTAAATTAATTGAGTTCATGATTAATGTCTTAATATCTTTATATTGTAATCGTATAAAATTTTATCAAATTTATCAAATCATATTTAAAGTAAAAATTTAATTAAAATTAATTGAAAAAATCTAATTCTGTTGCATATTTGTATCTCCGAGATTCATGAAAAGCACTCTCTTTTTTTGCTTGTTACTCAACAGCTGTCGATATTGAATACAATTGATATCTCAATATATTCAATACAAATATTTCTAAAGAATGAAAAAATGTTAATCTTCTAAAGAGAAAAATCTTCTTTTTTAAAAGGGAAAGAAACCTTTGTGTTGAAGGATCTCTTTGCGCCAACGTTGTGGGTTGTGGAGATCTAGGCGGTAAAGACCTTTCCGTGGTGAAAGGTGCGGTACTGCGAGTCGGTAGGATATCCGGCTTGCCTGGCCACTGCCTGGGTTCGATACGCTCTACTTCGTCCAGCGGTTCGCGGTCGCGATCGACAGAATTGATGGGAGATTGCCCTGAGTCGATCAAATCGATGGATTCTGGTCCATCAATTGAAACGCCGTTACTCGCAGTATTTCTTGTCCAAATAAGATTAGTAGAGTTAGCATCTACAAGATCTATTTGTTCTCCGTGCATTGCCTTCAAGGTAGCTGGAGGATACCAAGTCATACTCCACGAAGGATATGACCAGCAGCTTAATAACAAGATCCACCACATCTTTGAATACGATTACGTTTCTTGAATTTATTTTGTCTACAAAGGACGAGTGAATTAAAATTAAAATCAAGGATTCAATTTGTGAAAATTTTACTACGAAATTTTAGTTTTCTCACAATCCAAAATAATCCTAAATAATCTTCTATTTTATTAAAATAGAGATTAAAGTCTTTTTAGAATGTAAATGATTTAATGAATACTAATTATAAATATATAAAATATATAAATGTTAATAGCTAAAAAAAAAGATTGAAATTAAAAAATTTGGCCCTTAATTAAAACATTAAAAATTCTTAAACATGTTTTTACTTTCTTAACATTAAAAGAAGTAGATGCAGAGTGTCCTAGAATGATCGCTAAATATTTCATGTGCTGATAGAGCGGACTAAACTAATTGTAAGTAAAAAAATTTATCATGCAGTTTATCATTTGCAGTTTTTGCAATAGTTTTAACAAAATATTAATTACTAAAAATCGTCAAATATTGATTTTCAATTAATTTTTTATTCAAGTACTATCAACTTTACAGAGCAAGAGAGCAAAAATTGTTTAATTTCTTCTCATACAGTTCTGAGAATTTTTCAGAATTTTTTATCAACTTTTTAGTAATGCATTTTCTTATTGTATTGGCAACTATTTTTACCAACATGAGAAAATGCGATACTAAAAAATTTTCAGAACTCTATGAGGAGAAAATAAATAAATTTTATCACTTATTGTTTTTCTATAAAGTTGAGTGATAGTACTTGAATAAAAAAAATTATTGAAAATCAATATTCGGCGGTTTTTAGTAATTAATATCTTGTTAACTATTGCGAAAATTGCAAAACAGTAGAGGACTTTTCGACTCAGTTTAGTCCGCTCTATCAGTACACGAAATATTTGATGATCATTCTGAGACACCCTGTATATCTTATAACAATTAACAAAATGAAGTCTAATAATATGCGCAGAACAGAAAGTGATAAAGAAAAAAAAATCATAGCTTAAGTATTAGTTTCACAGAATGAATTCTTTATGATATTTTCTTTTAATTCAGTTATTTTGGATAGGACTTACATTTCGACGAATGTGTCATGTATCGTCCATTACTCGATGATCAGGATCCTCCAGATATAATGATCTGAACATGGAGTTTTGGTAGAATTTTATCTCACTAAAAAACATGTAATGACGAATTACGAAATCGTAAGTTCTTTCAGTTGAATTTTTTGTTTGATTTGTCAAAAGAAGAATCTTTTTTTTCTCCACATTGGAGAAGAAAAAGAGATAAGCTAAACAGATAGAATCGTTTATGATAGAGCCCAAGAATAAGCGTCAAATAAAAGTAAATCCTCAATTCACAAAATCATAAAAACTCAAATACACTTTCAAACAATAAATACACATATAAAAATTAACTACTTATTACAGATTTTCAGTTTGCTCTTGCACTAAACACTTTTTTTATTCCTTCAAGACAGTTCTTTCAATTCTCTCACACTGTATCAAATAATATCGATGTCACGAAAAAGAGTTTGGAATGGCAATAAAAAGCCTGACCAAGTGATATCTGTACTAACGAGATGTGAACTGTACGGTTTTTCAGTACCGTCACATGGGCATATAATGAAGCGATATATATACAATTCCGGTCTTAGCTTCCGGTTGTTACGCATCCCGTATTCGGGGGAGTCCGATAGCAATTCGTCGAACAATGAAATTCCATCGAGGCAGAATGCCGTAATAATAAGATAAAAATCTGATCATTTCCATTGGCAGTAAATCGATTCTACATACCGCTTCGCAAACAACAGGTTTTCAATCATATAATATGCATTCATCGTTCATAATTTAATTTCTCAATAATCTCAATAATTAATTAATACAAAGCATCATTAGTTAATACAATAATAAGAGTTTACGCAATGCGTATATGTTATATATTATGAAATATGAAAAGTTATTTTTAGCGCAATCGTATTTTATCTATAAAAGTCCTATAAGGAATCATTAAAAAAGAAATGTCATCTAATTCAAATATAGTATATAGTGTTAGTTATCATTCTTGCACGACTTAAAAAATAATTTTTGAAAATGTCACTGTATAAAAAATTAATATTAACAATTGAATAACACAAACTTAATAATTATCTCACGCTTTAGTGAAAGATAATTTCATGTACAAATTTTTAAAAATATTTAAATTATGCGAGATCTAATTGGCACGCAACAAAGATCGCTTTTGCAAAAGTCTTGTTAAAATTCTTCTAAAATCATTTAATACGCGTTTTTCATTTTATAAAGCAAATTTCTGTTTATGTAATATCATTTTTTTTTAGATTGTTCGTTAAAATGTCAAAATATTAAAATTTCGATTCAGAAAATTGTGAATTCAAAAATTTAAAAAAAACATATGATCTAAAACTGTCGTGTTCTCGTTCAGTAAGATTAATGCCACGCCCAAGATTTAAATATACTCGAATAATGTAAGGTACAAGAAAAGGGCAAAGCACGAGTTGATCAGTACGGGGTCGACACAAACTGTTCTTTCTCAGCATCTTCGATATCAGATTTACAACGGATGCTGACATCCACTGCGGTAAAGGCTCCGGCGAATTATTGTGCACTAATTTCGTAATTTCCACTAGACTCTGGAATGATAATCAAGCACATATTTATTTATATGAACAATACAAATATTTTACGTTTTATAAAAGTGTTTCACTATTCTTTGTATTAAAAAAAAAATTTCTTATATTAAGTTCTCTATGTACGATATTTAATAATATCACTATTTTATATAATATATATTATATATAATGCGCTTTTATTTTAATTTTGACTATATCTCGTTGTTAATTAATTTAATTTACCGTGGCCGGAAATGGAAACTTCTTCGTAACCATTTCATATAGTATAACGCCCATACTCCATATATCACACTTAAGTTCATACGGCTGTACACTTAGTACTTCCGGTGCCATATAGTAATAAGATCCTGCGTGACAAGTTATCGCATCTCTATAAAATAAAAAAAAAACAATTTTGTACAAGATAGAATAAAGATAGAATAAAGATTAGAAACGTTAATTTAAATTTTAAAAAATTAATCTAGAGATGTAATGATTTCAATGATGCTTATTGATAGTTTTAGAATAGCAGTTTAACAGTTCAGTACTGCAAAAATACAACTTGTTAAAATTGACTCCTTAATGCGTACTCTTGGATATTTTTTGAAAGACCAAAGTCACCGATTTTAACGATATCGCCGCGGCTGCCAGTTAACATGATATTTTCTGGTTTTAGATCCCGATGAAGAATTTTGTTTGAGTGAATATGATGTACTCCCAAAGTAACTTGCGAAAACAGATACAATGCGTCCTAACAAAAAAAAATTTTTGAAATCATTTTTATCTATACTAATGCATTTATTTTTGTAAAACATTTACAAAATTATCATAAGTTTTAAATACACTTTATTGATTATAAATATTACAGATCTGTCCAATTATAAACAGAATATAAATTAATAATGCTGAACAATTTAATTTTTATAAATTACAATGTACACACACGATGAATAAATATTACTTTAAAATATAATTTCTTATATAATTCCAATATAACGCAAGTTTGTAATTGTCGAGTTAAAATTCTAAAAACATTTTTCTTGATAATATTCAGATTATTAAAATCTAATAATATAGAAAATTACCTCTTCTTTAAGTGGTATTTCTCGTTTTTCTAGCAAATCCTTGAGAGTACATCTAGTTGCATATTCCAGAAGAATATAGCTGTAATTATTATTTTTCCATGCTCCATAATAAAACACTATGTTTGGATGTCTCAATTTTTGTAGACATCGTATCTCTCCTAGTGTTCTCTAAATTACAAAATATATGTCAAATTTTATATTTTACTTTAAAAAATCGATATTATGTAACTATATACCTCAGAAGGTGAGTGGTTTACTGCATTTAAATCTTGTGCTTTTATAACGAATGGCTTTGAGTCTTTCTTTCTTTTCACCAAATATACAGTTCTAAAAATACACATTATTCTAGAAGATAAATTCAACTTGTACGTATATAGTCACATTTATTTCAAATAATATACCCAAAAGTTCCCTTTCCAAGTATGCTTTCAAATGTGTAGTCATCTATATGCACATCCATCTTGGTTTGCATAAAAATAAGAAACTGAAGGTTTAAAGTTGAAATTAAATTTCACGAAATTGGATTTTATCTAAGACAAGTAAAAATATTTTGATTGTGATATGTAGTTCTACTTATTGAAGGACTATTCAGTCTGTTAAAGTAAATTGTGTAAACAGAAATATTTTCTTAGATATGTGTGTGTATGTTTTACTTTTCTAATTTAAATAACATAAATTTATGTGCTGCTTACACAATATCAAGGATAGTTATTATTATTATTATTTGAGAAGTTTCAAGGAGTTTGAATAAATAGCCATTTATTCTATAAATTATTCTCCATATCTTAAATTATTAAATTAAAAATTCTGAGAAAATGTATAATCGAATTCTTGTTAAAAAAACTTAAACACTTTGTTCTAAATTGTAAAATTAAAAAAGGATATATATTTAAAAAATCTTTTTACATTTGTATCTCACTTATATTATGACAATATTTGGATGGTAAGTTAAATGTCGACAAATTAAAATTACAATTAAATGATGTTTTATTTATACTCTTTTTTTTACAAATAATGCAATGCAGATTTTTCTAAAGCGTTGTGACCTAAACTATATCAAGAGAAAACATCACGATTATCAAACAATATATATTCTGCCTAAAAACGGATTGCGTATTTTATGGTGAGATAAACGTCAAATCACAAGAGGAGTATAACATAGATTGGTAGTGGTTATTATAGCAAAACATTTTTTTTTTTTACAATTATAATTTCGGAAGAAATGATGCGAGTTATTTTCTATGATAATATAAAGGTACCCGCAACGAAATGAAGATACATAGCTACTTTGCAAGTGTTAACAAAGCGTTTAACGACTAATATACGTACTCGTAGAAAATCTCATACGTACGTTATTTTGTTGAGAGAGATAAAGAGAAAAAAACCAAATAATGATTATTGCAACATTTACTCACGAATAAGAAAGCAAATCGCTTTATGTCCTACCACTATACGGGATTAGATGATATTGCAATATATAAATGTATATATCTTTACTCTGATATCTTTTGAACTTTGTCGTTACTGACCGCATTTCAAGAATTGTTAATAGAACTGTTACTAGACTCTATCGTATTGGCGCTATCGTTTCCGGTGGACACGGATACGCGTGACTGCTTCAAGCTATCCAAGTACTCTTGTTGTGACGTTGCCAACACTTGTGAAAGTATTTGACTATCTTCCCAATCCGTCAAACCTAGAAAATTAGAAATTGATGAAAGTGCAACAAAATTCTTATAGTTTAATGTAAAATTTCTCTAGGAGAGAAAATCCTTAATTAATATTTAAGGAGAGTAGATAGCACACTATAAATTTAAATTAAGCAAATTGTATAGCATAAGATAACGTTTCGAGTAAACCTTGTTTCTTATATTTAAAACTGAATTTTAATTTAATTTTAAACACAAATTTTTAATACATCATACAAATTTTTAATTATAAACTGAATTTTAATTATAAACAAAAAATGTGTGTGTGTATTAATATGTATATTATTTATATGTCAAAAGTATCAAATTTTTATTTAAAAAATAGTAGTAATTTGTTTTTCTTTCCTTAAAATATAGATAAACATAATTTAAGAACATATTTTTACCGAATACTTCAGGAGGGAGGCGATTGAACAACGAGATATCGGGTGATGCATTTGCCTCCTTGCTGCTTCCTGGTACAGGCTCTTGCGACATCATTTTCGCCTCAAAATCTGACGACAAATGGGATATGCTAGATCCTTGAGTCGATTGATGTTGTGGCGATCTCTTATTATATCGTACTGCATCACTGATCTAATAATTACAACAAACTCTCTTACATGAAATATCTTAAATTTTCGTTGCAAGAATAAAAGATAAAAAAGACCTTTGGAGAATTACGTAAGTTATCTTGGCTAGTTTGTGTCGTAGTCGGAGAAGAGGTATGGCTACGTTGCTGTCCACGACCTCCATGTGAATGAAAGTGTGAATGATTATGTTGCGCGCTCGTAACTGTGCTCGTACTGCTACTACTGGCTGATCGCTTGATTCAAAAGTCATGACTCAATTTTTTTGCTCCAACAGAAGAGTAATTAATATAATAAGCATTAAATTTTTACTTACTGCCTTACGCATTTCATTATCACGCAACCATTGCAAATAGCTTTCACGAGCTACTTGCTCCTCAATAGCTTCATTAGTCGCCTCCCAGTCGGTAGCCTTTATCTTATCCTCCAGCATTGTCTTTCACAAAATAGAAATATCTTTTGGGTATTTGTAAAATTAAATAAATCCATATTTATGATCTTATAACGATTACCTGTTCAATATGCAATTCCTCACTCTGACGAACTGCATCTGATATCAGAGCTCGATCAGCGGCACCAGGATTGTATGATGGTAGACCAAGTCCAACGCCTACAGTAGCTTTAAATGGATCAACTATACTATTATAATGACTACCACGCTGGTATGACAGCCGGATTGGTTCATTCATTGGTTCATCACTTTCCACCATGGTATGAAAAATATTAATAGGTTCTATAAAAAAAAAATAGTTCAATAACAAAATCAAAAGCAACATGAGAAACCTTACAATATAAATGAAAAAAGTACGTACCAGTGCTATAACAATATAATTGGATAGTACGATTGTAAATTTCTGACATAGCTTGCATTTCTATATGATTTCCATGTACATACTCTTGTCTTTTCCTGTCTACATACGTGCTAAAATCTTCTGCCACAAAATGAGAGAAAAATTCCTGATTAGAAGCCTGGAAAGGAAAATAATTTTTCATCAAATTGCATTAAAATAGCATAACGTATTATCCTATCTATGTACACTTACAATATAATCCATACAGTGTTTTCGCACAACGCCATGCATTTCTTGATCGCCATAAATCTGGTCTGCTACAGCTCTAAATAAACAAGCTCCATCCTCCGCCATCTTCTTTAATATAAGCCCCTTTTTCTTCAGACGTTTCTCAAACCATCTATCTCTCTAGATTATTGAGGATACAGAATGTAATGTGTTAAGTTTGAACCAGATTAGAATAAAAACTGAATTGAAAATAAGACTGAATTTAATCAGAAAAAAGAAAACCAGTATCACAAATTTAGTGAACTTTATTTTGACTGATTAAATTTAATCTCAGTCTCAATTTCAATTTCTGGTTTGATATAGGCGTTAGAAAACGTATTGTATTTGTATGAAAAATATATGATTTAATACTTACTTCCTGCCATTCAGCTAACGTAAGATTATTTTCAGTACGTCCTGTATACTCATCTCCACTGTTGTAGCCAGTTGCCAACTCATCTAAATTTGAGGTATTTCCGACAATGCCTCTTCCACTTACGTTAGTATCTGTGCCTAAATAAATCGAATTTACTGCCTTGTATTCTGTGTTTATAACCATCAGAATTTTATTTGAATGGTCTTGATGATCTGTTGTACAAGTTAAAAAAAGATTTTTTTAATAAACCTTTTATTACCTTGCGGACCATTGCAAGAAGCAGCAGGTGGAGTAGCCTGTCTCTCGCGTTCTCTTTCTCTCTCTCTTCCCCTGCCTCTATCCCTCTCTCGTTCACGCTTTGTGCGTGAAGGTCTACCAATACAGCTATTAAAAGATTAGTAGATCTCTTATTAAATATAAACATAAACCTATACCGTAAAAGCGTGTAAAATACCTTCTGCATATCCTATTTTATGTAAATTATATTACAACACACAAGTGCATTTTATAACATCCATTTTTAGTTCTTGTGCCTTTTTCAAATACCTGTGGGGACTGACTCTCTGTCTGTGACGTTTACCATGACTTGGGCCACTCCCATCTTCAAAATGTTTGTCTTCGCGGCGGTCAACGTTTGTCTGTAATAAAAACATCAGATATTAGCAAAATAAAATCTTTCCAAAATTTTTATCGTTACTGTCGTTAAGAATTATAGAATAGGAACCTAAGCAATCAACTGTATAATTACTAACTGTATAGCACAAATATTATTCATGCATTGTTAATTATTTTACTGTTGTCTCTATATTCGTTAGCGATAAACATTTAATATTTACATCACTTGTCAATGCACAAAATAATCTATACAATACCAAGACTATCCAAAGCAAAGGAAGGAGTAATCCTGTGTGTGTTATACCTCGTACGAGTTGCCAGTTAACACGAGAGAACCGCTATGAGATCCATGATCGCTTTGGACTCCATGTAGATCGACGGCAAAGCCGCTGGCGCCCCGTACCTAGTCAGCGAGTTGGCAAAACTTCTGTTTTAAAACCTGCTCCTTTTAAGCAGAGAGACAGAGCAAAGTCCGGAAATCGCGTTCCGTCTCTCACCTGATAAGGACTGTTCGGGAGCGCAATGCTGCCGGAACTGTGCTCGTTCTGCACCCCGTGATGGACGTCGACCTCGGATCCGGCGCCTCCCTCGCGCGTTCTGTCCTTCGACGCATTCGTCTTCTTCTTCGATAAAATTGTCATGATCTTGAACGATCAATTCCTTCTTTATGTCTATCTCTGTCTCTCTCTTTTTCTTTTTCTCTCTCTTTCTCTCTCTATCTATCTCGTCCTCGTTGTGGAGCGATGATACGTCACAAATCGGTTCACGATCGTTTCCCGATCCGTTCACCCTCCCGATCACTAGCTAGATCGTCTGCGTATCTATTACTTTTTTTTTTCTCACAGACGAACTAGAAAATAGAGTTCCTCGCGGATGACCGCGCGCACCTTCCGCACTCTCTCCAATCCCACGTTTACGCCGACGTCGTTGCGTCACTCGTACGACAAGAAATTTCGGTCAAGATAACGTGGTTCCATGGCCGTTGTTCAACATGTCCGAATAAAAGCGACACGATGTCGTCGATCGCTGCTATGCCTGGAATGTTTTGTCAGACGGCCATATTCGTTTCAGCTCCAGAGTAATCGGAGCCAATCGGAGTACAAAGAACACTTTGGAGAATGTGGGCAACAACAGGCGCGGAAGATTGCAGCATATGAATTAAGGTCTGCGCACAATGGAAAATTGGTATTTAAAAGAAATAAAGGCTGATATTTATAGTCGGTTCTTATTTCAAGACAGTCTTAGGCCGGAATCAGATTACGCATTGAAGAATGAGATTGAAGATTGAAAGATTGAAGTTTGACCAATAAGAACAAAAGGAGCCAAAACTTCTTTGTCCTCAGTGAAATTTCAATCTTTAATCTTTAATCTCAATCTTCAATGCATAGTCTGATTTCGGCCTAATGTGGCTCTCTAATTAGTCTCTTTAATTCATGATCATCTCAAGATTGAATTTAAGACGATTTTAAGAAGTCACGAACCAATCAAAGGACTGCTTTAGTATCTTAAGACATTACTTAAAACGATCTTGAAATAAAAATCAACTATGAATACCGGTCAAAAAAGAATGCTTTCCATTTGATGACAAGTCGGTACAAGCATCTTTCTATCTTTGTTGATATTCAGAGGTGACAAAGATAGAACGACACTCGTCGACTTGTGTCATCAAATAGAAAGCATCCAAAAATAAGTATTGAGATTTTAACCTTATATTCTAACCTTAACGCCGTTAAGGTTAGACAGAGATACTAATATATTTCTCTCTCTGTTATCGATTTTGTTAAAACTACTATCTACCCTGCATGTTGGCTCAAATCTCGTGTCGCGATTCTGATTAGAGGGTCTCTAGGGCTGTGTTCCAAAATTTACTGCAAGGACTGAAAATTTATAGTTTACGTCAACGCGCACTGTAGATTTTTAATACTAGCAGTAAATTTTGAACACAGCCTAAATATCCGTAGGCTGGATCCGGTTTAGTGCTCACAACGATTTAGAGTGGAGTTCCACGAGGCATATTTGCCGCGTATTACATATCGCGTAACCAATCAGTAATCACAACAGCGAATCGCTTCTAATTATGCCTATTGTGCTTATTGCACATTGGACGCGATTAGCAATGAGCAACGAACGATATCCAATGAGAGCTTGCTACGAGGGGCACTACTTATATTTTGAGCCTTGGCAACACTGAGTGTCGTCAGATGCCATCTGACGTTTTCATTACAAAGTTTGATATTTTTGACCACAACCTTCTTCAAAACGTTTTGTTATTTGAGCGCGATTTGTATTGTTTACAGTTACTTGAAAATTGTGTCTCAGCGAAAAAATGGAATTATAATGGAATTAACTCGTGAAAATTTTCGTGCAATGATTTATTACGACTTTCGACGTGGATTATCAAGACAGGAGTGCATCGATCAACTTACTTTCACTTTTGGCGATAAAGCCCCATCCTTTGCCACTGTGAAACGCTGGTATAACGAATTTAATCGTGGTCGCTCACCGACGAAAGTCGTGAAGGTCGTCCAAAATCAGTTGTTGTGTCAGAAAACATTGATGCTGTACAAAAACTAATAATGCAAGATCGTCATGTGACATACTGCGAGATTGAGACAACTTTAGGCATTAGTTCCACCAGCATATATAAAATATTGCATGATCATTTAGCCGTGAAAAAGGTTTGTTTTTGTTGGATCCCACATAATCTGACAAAATCTCAAAAAGATGCTCGTGTCGATTGGTGCAAACAAATGCTTAAGAAATACAATGGCGGTGCTTCAAAAGACGTGTATAAGATTGTAACAGGTGACGAATCATGGATCTATGCGTATGAGCCGGAAACTAAACAGCAGTCGACTGTATGGGTGTTTCAAGATGAACCAAATCCAACAAAAGTTGTTCGCGCTCGAAGCACTTCGAAACAAATGGTCGCCTGTTTTTTCGGAAAAACTGGTCATGTGGCAACAGTGCCTTTAGAGGAACGTAGAACGGTCAATTCTGAATGGTACACAACCATTTGTTTGCCGGAAGTCTTCGGTGAAATAAGGAAAACAAACAAGCGCCGCCGGATCATTCTTCATCAAGACAATGCCAGTTGTCACACATTTTGTCTAACAACCGACTATTTGAGCACTCAAAAAATCAAATTAATAGGTCATCCGCCGTACAGTCCTGATTTGGCACCAAATGACTTCTTTTTGTTCCCGAACGTCAAGAATAAATTGCGTGGACAACGATTTTCATCGGCAGAAGAAGCCGTTGATGCATTCAAAAACCATGTTTTGGAGTGTCTGAAGCAGAATGGAAAAAATTTGACAAGTGGTTCGAACGCATGCAGAAGTGTATAGATCATAAAGGAGAATATTTTGAAAACCAATAAAGTCATTTTCAATGACAAATTACTGTTTTTTTATTTTTAGGCTCAAAATGTAAATAGTGCCCTACGTATAAGCGCTAAAGCGAATGCAGCCATTGTCGATTCTTAGATCGGGTTCACATCTTGACGGAAAGCAAAAAGCTCAAATTTTTAATCGTTTTTTTTTTTTTTTTAGGAGAAACAACTACGCTCTTGTGGAACAGATTGTAACATTCTCAACTCTAATAAGTGATTATAATTATATAAGTTAAAAATATAAATTCTCAAAAATACTTATTTCTTTATTTTTAACACACGTAATAAATGTTTTATTTTAAAACGTCATAAGTATATTATAATAGACATATGATATATTGTGAAAAAACAAAATAATATATATGTGAAGATTAATGACCAATGTTCTTTATGCAATCAAGTGATTTTTGATGTAATATATGACACAGTAGTTTTCAATTTAGACATTTTTAGATTTTATCTCATCTGGATATTCAGGTATTCTATGCGATATAACCATAGACATACAGTTCAAACATTTTTCTGACATCATGCGCTGGCATTGTAATTCCTTTATTGTTTCTTTTAAGCTCGTTATGCAATTTTTAAAACGTCGAAGCTGTTGCCTTTGTATTTGAATTTTATCTCGTCTCTTCTTTAATGTTTCTTGACTTTTTATGAGTTTTTCAATTAGTCTTGATGGAGAAATATGATAATGATGATCAAGGTTTACAATTTCAGTCTTATTAAACATTAATAGTCTGTCTATATCTTCATCTGTAAAAAATAAAAATTTTCATGAAAGACTTTTTCAAATTAATTATTATCTTATTCCATTATTATGTACGTTTTATCACACTAAATAATTATTTAGAAATTATTCTTATATTCATATTCTTATATACATAAAGTCTGTTCATATTACTATATACTTATTGTATTCAGCATTTGCTTTCTCCTTTAACACTCAAATATATATTTATCTCATTTTTAATGCAAAAATTTTAAAGGGTTTTAAGCAATACGGATGGACTTATAGAAATACTAATACTTTGATTTATAACAAATTTGATCCCTTGTATAAAAGCCTTGTGTTCATGATTAGAAATTGGTGCAAGACTTCTGATGGAAAAAAAAATAACAAATCACATTTGAACAATTCAATCACATGACCAAGGTTTTTATACCAGATTAGTACATACTAAATGCTGTTACACATAAAATTAGCAAAGTTAATGTAAAAGCATATAAATATATTTTAAACATTTAAACACCTAATAATGATATTATTACGTTATATAACAAAATATACATGTCATTGTCAAAGTTGATTAAATTATGCTGCTGCATTCAAATATTTAATATAAAATAGCCTTTAATGTAGACTAATTAATGTAATTTGAATGACCAAATTCACCATTAAAAAAAAACTAAATTATAAATTCATATCTATAATAAGACTAATGAAAAAATAATTACCATCTGAGTAAGTTTGGATTAATTTATTGCAAGAAGCCTTTTGTGGAAGGTCAGATTTATTATCATTAAATTGTATCTTCTGATTCTGTTTTAAATTCTCATCAAATGTTACTTCATGAAAAGAAATATTTTCTGTTAATATCAAAATAACTAAATTGAATATAACTTTATACTTATATTTGTATTTTAATATTTTTATTCCAATAATTAAAGACAAATTCATACAACATAAAAATAAAAATTTTACCTGACTTTATAATATTGTTAAAACAGTCAACCTTATTAAATATCGTTGGAATGCTTCCATCTTTTAACGTCAAATACTTTTCTCCTACCTTGCGTAAACAAGTTTGCTCAAAATGGTCTGAACATAAAACACTGCTTTTGTCTGGAGTCCAATTCTTGATTCCCATATTATCAAGCCATTTCTTTAAAAGATTTGATTTATCCAATGGAAACCTAGGTTTACAATGTATACAAAACTATATTAAGTTATATTTCTAATTAAATTTTTTTTTAATCTTACTTGAAAAAGGAATATCCTGATTGACGTATACGTGTCCGTTTGCAATATGCACAAAAACGAGGCTTAAAACGCATTGGAATATTGTTTTAATTGTATTTTAAATCCTAAACAGTTAAGTAACTTTCTGTAAAATGATTAAAGTATAAAACGATTGAGTTTAAACTTTTTATAGAAAAAATATTTACTACTGTTTTTAAAAATGTTGAGAGAAAATTGACAAAATATTTATTAAGAATACCTTTCTTCAACTCTAATTTCGATAAAATTACATTCATTCGATCCGTTTTTGCACGAAACGAAAGAATCAGGTAGAAAAAATTTTCAATCTACTCTGCGGAAGGAGATATTAATCATAGAAATTTGTTAATGCCATGTAGAAATTTGCTATTAAGGTTATGAAACTTTATCATAGCAACATAAATGTAACAACTGCGCATGCGCTATGGTGACGTTTGGATGCTTGACATGATGAAATTTTCAATTTCACCATGTGCTCACCCACATGTGCACACGTTTCTAATTTCACGGCTCTCGCTAAAAATTGGCACAAAATTTGAACTTAACCGTATACGATATACTTCCCTTTCTTCGAAAAAATTAAACAGGGCCATATTCTCGAAAAATATTGCATATGAAAATGTAGGAAAATACTGTAGTATACGTTACGGCCCATATTCAGAACGCGTTTACAACTAATACATATATATTTTACATTACGCATCCCAGAAAAAAATGCTTTATAATACATATGATTATATACAATAAAATATAAATCTTACATAATTGATATAAAAGAACATACTTTATATATAATTATGTATAATTATATATAATTATATATATCGATAAAAGCACATTCTGAATAGATACAAGCTTACATATATTATAAATTTTCTTATAACATAACATAAATAGAAATTCTATTTATAGAGTACAACTAAAAAAAAAATGCGAAAATTGCAAAATGATTCATTTATAGAGTTTTTGATCAGTGAAGAGCGTTATGATTGAGTGGGCGCTTTTTAAAATACACCCTATATATGTTTAATTATACTGTATATTATATATAGGAAAGAGTTACTCTATTATTGGAAAAATTACATAACCCAAGTTCACGGATGTGAACCCTTTCTCTCTCATTCATTAATCTGTTGAATAATAACACTATTTTGTTTTAAATATTCTGCGAAAATTTTGTTTTTTAAATCTTAGTAAATTAGTGAAAAATAGTGAATTGTTAATATTATTTGTAATACATATAAAAAGAAATCTAAAGATGATGAATAGTGATGATATTGACAAAAATATTATTTCATTATATAATGCTCAAAAGTGGGAAGAGGTTGCTGCTTTATCTTCTGCGAGTGACAATCTTAAATCTAGTAGATTATCATGGATATTTCCCGATATAAATGATTTATATTGGATAAATGATATTATACGAAAGTATAATTTAACTGGAATTGCAAGTATTGGTTGTGGTTGTGGATTATTAGAGTGGTTATTACAAAAATGTTCAGGTAAATCTTTAAAATAATTTTGGTATATATATAAATATTCTCCACCACAATTTTTAAAAAATATTATCTTTGTTGAAAATAAATCGGTAAATTTTCAAGTACCAAAACGATATGCGATGTTATTTTGCTACTTTAATAACTGTATAGCATTCTGTAATTATATGGAAAATTACAAAGGTAATTTAATTTTTGTTATTGGACCCGCACAAGGGAATAATCGTACAACAGATCCATTGCCATTCGATGAAAAATTTAAAAAATATAATTGGAAATTAATAAAGCAGAAAAGGCTTTTGTGTTCCAACGATTATATTGTTGCATACAGTAATAAATAATAATAAATAATAATAAATAATAATAGATATATTTTTTATTCTCTGTTCGCTGTTCCTTTTATTTTGCGGAGCTCCTTAGACCTCGAGTTTGATCTCCTTATTATTGGCTATGACAGTCCGCCATATTCTTGGTTTTACAGCCAACGTATGAGCAGAACAAAACTGAATCCTTCGTTTGCTCGTACTGTCGCTACTGTATGTAGGCTGTGATCAAAGTCTCGCTACAAATGCTTTGAAGGATGGATGGACCAATTAGAAGAAAGAATTTTGCAAACTGACCAATTAAAAAACGCTTCAAAGCGTTTGCAACATCGCGTTGACCATACCAGTAATTTACTGTGCTCTTGTCTTTATACCTTGGTTATGGCATTTTCAGCTGTTCATCTGTCAAACGATTTGTGAATATTAAAAATTCGAGAAACACGCGAGCAAACAAAATAATAAAGAAAAATGCTTCGCGGATACGAAGGCGTGAGATATATCTCAGATAAGCAAATGGTAGTGTTTGATATAGGTAGCGCCTATACAAAGTAAGTATTGTGAAAAGGAAAATGATTCTTCCAGCCTTTACAATTTGATTGGATTTATATGTTAAATATGTTTGTTTCAACATAGATTTGGCTATGCTGGAGAAGTCTCTCCACGTGGTATTATTCGAACAGAAGTGAGATGTTCGGAATCAAAGAAGATACGCAGAATTATTGATTATAGAGACGCCGAGGATCTATATCAACTACTTGTAGACTTTCTCCATTTATTGTTTTTTAAGTAAAATTATAAGTTGTTTTGTATTTATTAAAGTTTGTCCTAAAATTTTTATCTAATGTGACTCCTGTGATATAGGTATGTTGTGATAAGCCCAAAAGATGCAAGGATATTACTTTTGGAGTCTCCATTGGCAGTGACATCATTCAGAGATACCCTTGCGAAAGTAATGTTCAGACATTTCGAAATTGGTTCTGTACTGTTTCTGCCGAGTCATTTAGCAACAATTAGCACTCTCGGTATTGATACGGCTTTGGTATTAGATGTTGGATATCAGGAAGCAACTCTGATTCCGATCTTTGAAGGAATACCGATACTTAAAGCCTGGCAAGCATTACCTTTAGGCGGACAAATTATACATGAGTGAGTTATGTTTTTCCATTTTTTTGTATTGAGGTTTACTTAACAGGTATTTATATTCTTCTCACGATTTATAGGAATTTAAAAAAATACTTTCGAGATACAAGTGACCTAGATTTATCAGAAAATATAGTGGAAGATATTAAAGTGAGAACATGTTTTGTAACTACGCTAGAAAGATCTGCAAAGCTAGGAACCGAAAATGCTTTGACTCCACCTCCTGACGTTACATATCCTGGTATTAAAAGAATTGTGATACCTGGAGAAATTAGAGAAAAAGCATTTGAGGTGTTATGGGAAAGAGATAATGATAATCTTTCTTTGTCCACTATGATACTCGACGCTATCGTTAAGGTAAAGTTAATCTGCTTTATACAATAAATTCTCCAAGATTGTTATATAAAATCCATGTTTCTAACGTTAAATTATTAATTTTAAATCAGTGCCCATTGGATACAAGGCGGATATTGGCTAAAAATATAATACTAGTCGGAGGAACAACTATGACAAAAGGCTTCGCGAGTCGCCTGAAGTCGGAATTGTTGGCCTTAATTGAAAGCGATCTGTATAAAACTAAATTGAAAGTGGAATCGTTCAAATTCCATACAGCACCTAGTAAGCCAAATTACACAGCATGGTTAGGCGGTGCTATTTTTAGTACGACAGATTTACCATTACGATGTTTGACAAAAGATGTGTATTTAAAAACAAATCGAGTTCCCGATTGGTCCAATCTTATAGATAATCAAAAGGATGAAACTTCTTATGAAATATAAATAAATTAATCAGTAAGATTTAACGAAGTAATCTATAAAAATTAAGTAAATCATTATGTATATTTATTACATGTTATAATTGTAATTATTTATAAAATGCATATTGTACATATAATTGTATCATTTAATGATGTACTTTTTATAATTCATTAATTATAATTACATTTTCACAAAATACTGTTTTCCCAATTGATAGATAGTATTAAAAATAATCAAAATATATCGGAGAGAGAGTGGACTATTATTGATTTTTTTCTGCATTGTTTATACAGCGTGAAGAATCAAATACTTTCAATCATAGAGTTGTAAGCAGAGTAAGTTTTTCGTTAAGCTGCAGCTGCGTTTTTATCAACTGAGATAACGCAACAACCATCAGAAGATCCTTAACGTTACTATTAAACATTTCGTCAAATTGGTCGCTCGTCATTTTTGGCACGGAATGTACCATATCCAAAAGAGCTCTGCCTACCTGAAATAACAGAATAATCGTATATATTAATTAAATAATAGCAAGTATTTTACAGATAAAAAACATTTTACGTCCATCTATATTTACGTCCGTTTATATTTACTTGATTATCTGGTAGTTGTTTCCCTGCTAGAACATCATCAACATATGCCAGTACTTGTTCTAACATTAAAGAAAGTTTAGAGCAAGCCTCTGAGACTTGCGCAAGATCCATCATGGGTTCTATCCCTCCACTAGATTTCATTCCGGATGCTTGTATGTGAGATGGCAATTGAGTCTTTGAACACAACTGCAATCCTACTACTTCTGGCTCATAGCATGTAATCTATACAGAAAGATTTTACAATATTAAAAATAATCTTTATATAAAGATAGATTGTCCTTAAGTTTGTTCTTTTCAATTAAACTTCTTGCAAGTTATTGTTTTCTTTTCTTTTTTTCTCCATGTTGGAGAGAAAGGTCTGCTCGCATTGCTTGTACCTTTTTGCACTCAGAATCTTTTTTTTCAACGCTGAAATGCATATTTATCTTGTTTTAAGTGAAAAAATTTTTGGAGATTTTAAACAACGCGAACAAATTAATTGTAAGTTGCAAGAAGCAAGTCTTGCACCTTTGGCTGAAAAGAACAATTTTTTTATATTTATCTCTATGATATAAATTTATTGCAGATATCTTTTTATAAAAAGAGAAAAAAATAAAGATCATTATTTAGCTAAATCTTAGTTCTCAAAGAAAAGAAATACGTAAAACATATATTTGAATAATCAAATTATATATATTAAGAATTAATATTCCGACAAACCTGAACTTTAACTGGAGTGAACATGGAACCCTGCTTGCCATTAGGTACACCCAATGGAACACAAACATAAGCTTTGATCGCCATTCTCGTTGTATTTGTCAATGTAGTATCAACAGTCAAGTGCACTGGATTATTGCATTCTCGCACATAATATTCGTGAATGACAGACGAATGTGTGGTGACCTGCGACACATTTCATTTAGTTGTACATTATCGAGAGGAACATATAAGAAGAAAGTGAAATCAAAAGCTAAGAAACCTCGTTGCCGGTAGCCCACCAACCGACGATATTCTCTTGCGCATTGACACGATGATTCAAGTCATACAGATCCATACCATAGGTGAGATCAGCTTCTACCTGGCTCTCGGATTCCTTATGCGGTACGCAAAAACAATTGGTCACCTCGACGATCCCCTTCTCCGCAGTACCTGGAATAACGAATGACACATGTCGTCGAAAGTCGGCGAAATCACGACTCTCCAGTGGCAGATGCAGTCACGATAGGAGTTCTAGGTCGATCTAGACAGATATTAAAATTATCGCACAATACGTTACCCAGTAAGGTGCCGATAACGCGCAACGATTCCGCTTTTCGTCGTTCATATGCATCTACGATTTGAAATAAAACTACGGGATGCACTTTGACAGTAAGGTTAAGCGCCATGTTTTCGATAAGGAAGAATCAGAAAGAAACGTGTTCCAAACTCTGAAGTTTGATCAGAGCGAATCGAAGTGAAGGTTGTCCCCGTTCTCTGACAATCGATACTTTCGCATGATCGCCAACTGAATCTGAAGAACTGAAAATCAATATGGCGGAATGAGAGCTTTTCGCATTGCTTTAAATTCCCTAAAATTTTTGCTCTTTAATGAGATAAATATACAATATTTAAGCTAATATAAGATAATTATATTGAAGAGAAAACAAAACGAAGATACTGACTACAAAAAGAGCAAACAATAAATCGAACTATATTTTTCTCTGTTTATCTACAAATTAAATATTAATTATTTAATAATAATTATTAATTACTTAACAATGGTTATTACGTAATGCGAGCTAAATCGTTGTAAGAATAAAAATTCTGATTACATAAATACGTTTTTCTTGATCTAATATTTTTTTCACTATTATTAAAAAAATTATTTATTTTGTTCATGTCACAAAATTATATTACAATTTAATTACTAAATTAATCAGTCAATTAATTCAAAATATTGAACATTTCCAACTAAAATTCTTGTTGTCTCTAATTTTTTATTGATCCACGTATTAAACAATAAAATAAATTTTATAATATAATATTCATATTATTATAGAATTAATATATTATATATTCTGCATATTATATATCCATGTTAATAATTAAAACATAGAACATTAGACTATTGTTTAATAATATTTAAACATCGATTAAATTGATTAAAATTAATAAAAGTCGCCCTTCCTTACAATGTAATATTTTTAATTTAAAATATAGAAAATAAATTCATAAAATTATGGAAAACACAGTCAATATATTTACTTCCGTCAAATTAATTGTTTACAAAAAATAGAATAACAAAATAGATTTCAATATATCTGTTGCTTCCACTTTTTGTACTCAGTATCTTCGCTTTCTATCTCTTCAACGCCCAAATATATATTTATCTCGTTTTACGTGCAAATATTTTTGGAAATCTTAAGCAATATATGAATCTAAACCTATTGGTCCTTACTGCCTCTTTAGATTTATTCGCATTGTTTAAAATCTTCAAAATTTTTATACTTAAAACGAAATAAATATATATTCCGGCGTTGAAGAAAAAGAAAGTGAAAATGCTGAATGTAAAAAGTGCAATGAACGCGAAACAGAGACGTTTTCTTCCACGCTTCCACCATGCTATTGTCCATGGTTCAAATTCGACACTATTCAACTTTTGCTGAATAATAAATATAAATTCGACACTATTCAACATTTGCTGAATAATTGATAATGCTGTGTAAAAAGTGCAATCAATTCAAACAGAAATTTTCTTTCACTATGGTGTTCATGGAAATTCAACACTATTCAACACTTACTGAATAATTGATAATAAACGAGGAAACAGCAATATAATAACAATAATATATAAGTAATTTTAAAAAATGACGAAGCTTACTTAAAAATTCTGTTCGTTTCCTCTTGACTTGAATAAAAAAGAAGATTAAAAAAAAATCCTAAATATTGTATGATTCATCGATGAATCTGTTGTAATTTGCACGTACGAGAAGTGTACAGCTAAAAATTATTGCAATTTGATCAATCAAAAAAATAATCAGGAATCAAATGTAATACCATTAGACTGTCTTCTGTAATGTTAATTATACTCGTCCAAAGTATGCTTATTGCATATGATTACAATATTTCAATGAAACTTTGAACATTGTTTAGGTTAGCTAAACAGGTTAGCTCAGAGCAAAAGCTAATCGGCTAATCCTTACAAGGCTGGCACTTATTCTGTTTTTCATTGAATTTTCGCATGTTGCACATTGCGATAATTAGACCGCACATAATATGACGATTCTTTGGAAATTGTTAACTAATCCTAGTGTCCTACGAAAACTAGGATGCTGTGGAATTGGCGGATCACAGAAGTACCTGTTTGGCTCCTGCCTGACAAGGCAGACCACCAGATTTTCAAGGAAAGGCCGTGTATTTATCGGATTGAGACACTGCTCGACCAATGCTATCAGGTCCGACACGTCTGTGCCTGTAATACACGCAGTTAAGGCGAAGAAACGCTCGGAGTTGAGGACTTTAATTTTACTGGCCGCCCCCGAGAAGTGGACCCTAATGAAGGCCATTGCCTTATTGCTCGTGTCGTCCAGCGTAACGATGGCAGTCCCGTTCTGCTTTGGCAAAGTGATAGATGTTGTCAATACCGTGGAAAAAACTGGCATGAAAGAAAATCTTAATCAGCTAACACTTGCTCTCTTTGTAGTTTTTCTCATAGGCGGTGTGAGCAATTTTGGCAGAGTTTACCTAATGTCCACGGCAGGACACCGAATCACACAGTCTCTCAGGAAACAGGCGTATGCTGCTATCCTAGAGAAAGTACGGGAGAATTAGTCGGGAGATTGAGCGGTATGTTTTATTCCTTTTAGTTGGATATATATACTCTTAATAACAAATTCGATTTCTTGCATTGCTAGATTAGTGCATACTAAAAACAGTCATATATGAAATTAGCAAAGTTAAGTGTGAAAGCATACATAAATATTTTAAATTATTAAATATACTGTCATATTATTTAATAATGTATTATTTAACAAGATGTATTATTTCATTATCAAAGTTGATTACATTATATTACTACATTTAAATATTTTCTGTTGATGAATTCACTTGCAGTACATTGAATTAGTGCACATTAAAACGGCTGTTTTATATAAAATATCTACATACAGTAATATAATATAATTATTTTTGACAATGAAATAATACATATATATTTATGTATTTTTAATTTAATTTATTAATTTCATGCAGCAGTTTTTAGTATGCATTAATCTAATGCAAGTGATTGAATTTATTATATGTAGCAGTTTTTAAATATGTACTAATCAAGTGTAGTAATGCGAATGATTGAATACCATGCATTAAAATCTTTTTTGATTTTATTATATTTTTTCTTCAGGAGATACACAACTTATTAGCTCTGCCGTGACGTCCAATGTATCAGATGGTTTGCGCTCCGCTATTATGGCTATAACAGGAGTATCCATGATGTTTTACGTATCACCATCATTAGCTTTACTCGGTTTGGCTATAGTACCACCTGTCGCAGTTTTTGGCGCTATTTGGGGACGTGTTTTGAAAAAAGTGTCTAAGGATCTTCAAAGCAGTATTGCAGTGGTCAATGCAACTGCGGAGGAAAGAATCGGCAATATAAGAACTGTCAAGGCGTTCGCGCAAGAAAAACGCGAGATTGACAGATATAGCGCTAAATTACAAGACGTTCTAAAACTATGTTACAAGGAGAGTTTATATAGAGGAATGTTTTTCGGTATGACCGGTCTCTCTGGGAACATTATTGCTCTTTCAGTTCTTTACAATGGAATATTTATGGTATCAAATGCCGATATAACAATTGGAAGTTTAAGCGCCTTTTTATTATATGCCGGTTACGTGGGTATCTCTCTCAATGGATTATCTAAGGCATATAGCGAGTTAAATAAAGCTCTAGGTGCTAATGCTCGTCTGTTTGAGTTAATCGATCGACAACCGCTTATTCCCATTCAAGGCGGGCAAATTTTAGGAAAAGAATTATCAGGCAATGTGACGTTCCAAAATGTTTTTTTCGCATATCCAACGCGAGAAAAAATGCCCGTGTTGAAAGGTTTTAATTTAAACATAGAGAAATGTTCTATGACGGCTATTGTTGGTTCCTCGGGTTCCGGTAAATCTACCGTCGCGTCACTTTTACTAAGATTGTACGATCCTACAAAAGGGTTGATACTTTTGGATAATCACAACCTTCGTCTGCTTGATTCCGCGTGGTTGAAGTCTCAGATCAGCATTGTATCTCAGGAGCCAATTCTTTTCAGTTGCTCAATAAGGGATAATATATTGTATGGAATGGAATCTGCGACAGATTTTGATGTAGAAGAGGCTGCAAGACAGGCGCATGTATTGCAGTTTGCAGAAAAAATGACTGATAGATTAGACACAATAGTCGGGGAAAGGGGTATTGCCCTTAGTGGTGGACAACGTCAAAGAGTTGCTATTGCCAGAGCATTAATAAAGGTAAATCGTTACTTAAACGTTCGTGATTATTAAAATAATTAGCAAATATATATATATACATATATATATATATATATATATACCAAAAATTTTAATATTGGATGAAGCGACCAGTGCCTTAGATGCAGAAAGTGAATATTTCGTTCAAGAAGCTGTAGAACGTGCAATCCGTGGAAGGACAGTGATAACAATTGCCCACAGACTTAGTACAATAAAGAACGCTGATAAAATCGTGGTACTTGATGGAGGACAAGTGGCGGAAACCGGCACTTACGTCGAATTAATGAATCTGAAGCATGGCCTTTTCAAAAAATTAGTGAAACATCAAACATTCGCATAGATGTACAGAACAAATCGTTAAATATAACAATAATTTACTGTTTCATTATAACGCTGTTTTTATGGTTAATGTATTATATGTATATACATATGTATATTTATTCTATCTTTTAAATATCCAAAATTATGTAAAAAGTTCCGCACATTATTGGTACATTTCTTGATAGGAATATGTATTATCTAATTGGAATAAAAAATAGAAGAATGAAATATTATATCTAGTGCTATATATTTATTGCTGAATGTTATAGAAAGATACGTAACATATCATTCACGAAAATAGTTGCACAGACACAGCGAGGTATAATTATTACATTGTGGCGAGAATACAATACTCTCCGATCGTTCATACCTGTATTATTTCCTACTTCTTTTAAAATATTTTTCTTTTAATAAGGTCAGGTACATACACAACTACGAATAAAAGATAGAAAATTGACAATCTCTCATTTTTATATATTTTTTTTATAAAATAATATACAGCTATTTTTTTAGATATCCACATTCGTATATTATGTGTTATTAATCTATATTAATTCTTAAATTAATATCCCATTCCTACAATATTCTAATAACGTTTCAGTAGAACCGTATCGAATCCGCTTGAGAACATTTTGTGCAAATACATATAACAGTAAGCGATTCGACATAATGCTAATGGGTCCTAATTTGTGGCTCGATTTTAATAAGGTCAATTTTATTGGTTTGCAATGGGCCGCTTTAAGATTTTTTTCACTCAGATTTATTATATAACCATATATATATATAACCATATAGATTGAATTTGAACGTTCTGTCAAAATATAGGAAACTGAAGAAACCAGCATGCTAATGTCTGATCACAAAGAGCTAGCCATAAGCTCACAGAACATAGCTTGCTCTACTAGAGAGTCTTTTTCTCTTTTATACATAGCAAGCAGTTGTAACAAAAGGAATTACTTGCCTACTATAATGATAGTAGAAACTAATAAACGATACATTCAAAATATAATTGATCTCGAATAAGCAGTTTTAATAAACAGCTCGAAATAATAGTGTTTTCGTGTCTTCAAATGCTGCTATATATTGTAAAAAAAGTTTCGTAAGGAACATATTTATGATTGATCTCGAACGTATTCTCGGAATTAATTGGTTCCTTTGGCATATATGTCTCCAGATTTAATCAGAACTTAGTATAAGGCTGTGATTACGAATGAAACTGTTTCATTCACCTCGATTGTGAAAATGTTACGCGAATATGTACTCATATTATCATCATTATTTAAAAATTTATTCATTAGGTTACTTGTCCAATATGCAATATACACAATAGTTATAGGCACAACCTTATTCTAAGCAGATATCCGTGGTATTTGTATAAATCTGTATTGAAATGTTTACCAAATTTGACTTCTATACAAGCGGTTTTACAGTATTACAATTCTTTTTAGGAGTAGGCAGTGTTCTTTTTCCCTCCAAGAGTTATAGAAAATTCATTTCGATAGATCTCTTTATAAGTAAATATCGGAACTTATTCAGTCTAATGATAAATCCGAAATAAATAAAGCAGCAATTAATATTTAAGTTAAGATGATAAAGAATTTTCATTGAGCATTACCTAACGTTTGCTCACAATTTAAATCTCTCATGATTCTCATAATAATTACCGATTATGAAAATTATATATATTTATCGCGTTCACAAGCATGTCTCATCTTTGTGAGAATCTGGCATTCGATTTTTTATAAATTAAATTTTTCAATTAAAAAATGTTAGTATTTCGTTTGTAGTTGTTTATAATAACAATAATTTTGCTTGTAGTTCCATACATTAAAAAATATTAAAATTTTTTTGAAAAAAATGACTCACTCGACTTTAAAGTAAAAAAAAATTATTGACATATCTTGATTCAGAATCATAGTGGAATTGTTTGTAGTTGTTTGTAGTGATTTTCCGGTCGTTTATAATTGAGCCGTTCAAAAATTACAATAAATTTAAAAAAATTTTATATTTTTTAATATACAGAACTACAAAAGAAATTATTGTTACTATAAATGAAATACTATCATCTTTTTTATTAAAAAATTTAATTTATAAAAAGTTAGTCCACAAAAGTGTATGTCGTAAACATCTTGTTCATGTGCAAAGATATTTACGAATTGATTCATATTCCGACATCTATCTTAGGAATAGATATCAAAAATTAAACAAAAGGAAGGAGAAACATGCCAATTAGATAAGTCAAGATTAACTTTTCGGCAGCTCCTCCATTGCTTCCTGCTCCATAGGTTCATCCTGTTGAAATGTCGATAATGATTCTTCGTCGTCGATTTCCATTAATTCCTCCGATTCCTTTCTACATGCTATACTCTCTATTACAGAAGATTGGTTCCCTTTTATCGTGATGTCTGCTGTTGCTTTATTACTTTGTGAATTTGCTAAATTGTCATCTTGATCGCCTGTTAACTTGTCGTCCTTTGGAGATCGACAACTGACATTATCGGAGCTTTCTATTGTTTCGACAGTAGGTGAGACAGGATCGAGTTTTTCAATTACAGATGTTGCTTCTTTAGATTTTTCTACGCTGCTTATTGGATCCGACGTCATAGACTCGACAAGAACCATCTTATCGTTGGAAATTTCCATAATGTTTAAATTATCGTTGTTTAAATCATCGGACTCTTGCTCTTCTTGTCCATTAGTGTTGCTGCTGGAAGATGCTGTTGTAGGAATAGCTTTTAGGACTTTATCCGTCTCTTCTACACTCTCTGTTTTTTGGCTAATAGATTGATCACGTGCGAAACACTCTGTGGAAGAAATTGTTTCAGACTCTTCTTTAGAATGTATCTCGGATTTTTCTGTTTTGTACGTTTCGGTACTAGACACGATGACTGCGCTCACACACTCACTGGATGAGACAGTGCTATCTTTTTCCATGGACTGTGACTCGACGAGTGTCGTCGCATTTGTATTCTGGTTGCTCGTGATATGCAAGTTTTCCTCATCCAAGTCCTCAAGGATTGACGATTCCTCTTCCTTCGGTTTATCGCGAGCTCTTTCTTCAACACTTTCAGTATCATCCGTCAAAGTGTCAGATTTCATCTCAACATCGGTCTGTAATAAACTTTCAGTTAATCTACTTTCATCATGAGGCATCTCATTAGGATCTATATGCTCGGGACTCGATTTAGTTGTTTCTTCGTCTTTCAAGGACTGTCCAATCTTTTCCTCCACGTTACCTAACTTCGACGAATCCATGGTTTTCTCATTGGATTTGTCCACAGACTTGTTATCACCAGATTCGAAGCGTTTTGCTTGGAAAGCAGCTTGCAGCTTCCGCGTGGTATCCGTCGTTAACGGTATCACTGTAGCTACCACGGTCACCGTTGTTGTTGCCGTCGTTGATACCGGTGTCGTTGACGTTGCTGTCGTTGTTGTTGTTGCCGTAGTAGTACTTGTGGTTGTAGTCGTCGTCGTAGATGTCGTGGTACTTGCTGTTACTGTGCTTGCCTCAATCTCCTCACTCTCCATGTCTAAATTAGGTTGAGAATTGGTGTCCTCGTTCATAATCGCCACTGCTATATCAGTGCTTGGAACCATGGAGTCCTCAGAGACTGCTCCGACTGTCGGTAGACTCTGTACCACAGGAACAGCAGTTGCTATGGCTTCTGGTACTGATTCATGTGGCTGTAAATTTAAATTCGATATAGTGGAGAAGTCTGAGACTGTGGTGATATAATTGGTCGCCGAGATATCCGTTCTAGAGGTAACTTGTTCGATCTTCTCTCGCGCAGTTTCTTCAGCAAATAGATTCTTGGTCAGGGTAGAATCAGACGCTGGTATGACACTACTGTGTATAAGCGGTTGTTCGTTCTCGACGGTGTGTACGCTAATTGTAACGGTAGAGCTACAATCCTTCTCCCAGTACTCCATCTCCACGTCCTGCGAAGTCGGTTGTACTGGTTGCGCCGGTTGCGGCTGAGTCGTCTGTGAAGAAGGCTGCAAGGAGGGCTGCGATGGTGACGGCGGTGGTGGTTGCTGTGTAACGGAAGCTGCGTCTTCTTCGACGGAGCCGTTAACCATACCATCACCCGTTTCGCCACGTCTGGTTATGGGTCCGGGTTCGCGTGTTGATACCACTAGAATGTTCTTCTCGATGGCGCGCATGAACTTATCCACGCGATTGTACTCCTTACGTGGCGCCGTCAGCAGCTCGCATATTCGCTGAACGGTGAAAGGCGCGTTCGCGAACGATTCCAACCTCTCGAGGAGATTGCTCTTCATTATATCATAATTGAAATGCTCGACGTTCGGACAGGGCGCGAGTTCTAGAGTGGGGCAGCTTTCATAAAAGTCCGTCATCACGCGGGTGAGCTTCTCCCGGACGAGAGTCTTAATCAGCGGCCACTGGTATACTGGATCGCCCGTCTTGGCGACCCAGCACAGGTAATCCTCGAGCTCCTGCGGGATCACCGACGGTCGCATCTTCTGGAACTCGTCGAGTGCCTGCAACACTTCCTCCAGATTTTCCATCGTCTCCGCCGCCGCCAACTACCACCACCGACGAATCTTCTACGTTTTCTCTCAATTATCTCGATTGTTTGTCAACAAGATGAGTCGCGTAAAAATCCCAGGAATCTCAGAAGGAATACTCCGCGCAAGGGAAACAACCAAAAATGTAAACTAGCAAACACACCGGCCACAAAACAGCAACAATGAGAGCGGCGACGAGGAGGGAGAACAGCAGGGTTACCAACTGATGAGCGTCGCAAATTTCCAAGCGACATCTCGAGAACTATTTTGTTTTCAAATATTGTATAATTCCAATATATATTAAAATAAATATATTATACATATATTATACATTTCTAACGAAAAGTAAGTTTCTTTTAAGACAAAAGTATCTAAAAAAAAAAGGAAAGTTTGTATTTCTAAAAAAAATCTGTACATTAAAATCCATCTTCACACGGAAATGTGTAATTGCAGAAAATTAGTTGAATCGTAGAATACAAAAGATTCTTTTTAATATTAAATCCATAATTGAATTTCTTTATGTATATTTACAATTATGTAAATTCATCTTTTTGGATACATCATTTTGTCCCGAATTTTGTCCAATTCGTTCTCATTCCGTTTCAACTTTGTTCAAATGAAAACGTTGATTATTCTGTCGCGCAATCGCTGTAATCAGCATTACGATATTTCGACATCGATTTCCTCATTAATTTAACCCATTAAACTGAAATACCATGATAATGAAGCCAATGCAAAACAAAAAAATTGATCAATTTATAAATCCTTCCCACAAAAAGGCTTGTTCTTTATCGAAAAATTCTTTGAATTAGTGCATACGGTGCAATAAATTGAAGTAAAAATAAACTATATTCGTTTCGCTTCTTCAATTTATTGCATGAGTATACCAATTCATTAAATGTAATGTAGTACAGAATATAAATTACTGTAATAACATAAATGTGCCTAACTTAAAGTGCCTAACGTTAAGAACGTCCATATTCTGTATACGTATAGAAAATGAACGTACATATTTATAATAGATTAATCTTAATATATTTCACAATTTTAAACTTTAATTAGACATATGATAATAGATCATGTAACATGTAAGTATACATAGAAACAATTAACAATGATAAAATAAACTTATTTGTATTATAAATATCTTAATATATCTGGAGAAAGATAAATTATAATATTTTTCTAATCATTGTATATGTAATAAATAAATGTATCTAAATAAATAAATAAATCGTACATTCGAAAATTCCAAATTGACAATTCAATACCAACATACAGTTTATACACACACATCTTATACACACAAAGGCTAACCAAGTAGACTCATAGGTTGATAAAATTAATATTTTATGTAACTTCGCAAAACTCCGCTTCACTATATATTCCGAATGCACAATTCGTGATTGTTTATTATATAACATAAATACATTTTAATAGTTGGCTTATCTAAATGTTTGTAACTTTTTCAAAATATTAATATATTAATACTTATGAATATTAATATATTAAGATATTAGTTTAAAAGTAAATATTCTTAAGAACTCGCCGACGAATGAAATCTTTAACGATATTAAAACGTCAAAGATATTAACAATTACTTTTTGAACAATGACGGAAATATAATAGGTTTCATGGTATGATGATTATATTAATAATGCGATTTGATTTTACTTTCGTGCTTTTCCACGGAGAATTATTAAAAGGAACAAAGTGCATCTATATGTCTGAAAATCCTTTTCGACAGGCGCTGAGAAGACTGACTCTGCCACAAATTTTCGAAGAAAATCTTGGAAACCATGCAGCATTAAATAACTTAATATGTCAGTTAAAGGTTGTTAATTATAAGATCACATTGCTGGTCTTTATTTTTAATGGAACGCTCAAGATAATTTGGGTTCCAGGTTATCTTTAACGACACCAAAATGACTGTATCACATAGATCTAACATTCATGTGCCACACTAAATTAGTCTGGCATACCATGAAAATTTTTCATTTGGATAGACTTGTAATGATCAAAGACTTAAGAACAATAATTGTGTAAGTTCACTCTAAACAGATCTCTGTTAGAACTATCCCATAAATCTGTTGTTAATAGATTATTAATTTATAGATTTCAATTAACATACCACGTTTTAGAAATTAAGTTTTTCACAAATTTTGGTCACTTAAACATCAACTACCATTTTCTTATGAATATCTGTATTGCCAACAACCTGAAACAGCAATAAAAAGTATATGATATGCTGTTCACATTACAAGATATAAATGTATTACTTACAGAACAAAATTCTTCAAAGCTAATCCTACCATCTTCATCTTTGTCAGCAAACAGTATTGTTTTATCAACAATTTGCTGCAATTGTGTATCTTTCAAATTATTGCCTACCATCATTTTTAGTACTTGGAAAAGCTCTCCATTGCTTATGTAACCATCATTATCCATATCATAAATTCTAAATGCAAATCGTAATTTGCTCTCTTTGTCACCCTGCAAATTAGCATTATGTATAAAAACACAAATATAATTTCTATAAGAAAACGAAATCTACCTTAACGCTGAATTGAGACACTCCATGAATAAATTCTTTAAAATCTACTTCTCCATTGCCATCTGCATCAAATATGTCAATTACACGCTGCACTAACGGGTTTTGTTGTAACTCAGGCAGGGACATAAACTCATCGATGCTGAGTGCTCCGCTATTATCCAAGTCTAGCTTCCGAAATCTTTTCCCCAATCTTCTAATCTCATCTACATCGACTGAAGAACAATTTACAATCATATTTACACAAAATAACATCAAGACCATGCAAGTTAATAAATTTTTAATCATCAATGCTTGAATTTCTAATAATATGAATTATTTGTGTAATTCATTTCATTGAGGATACAATATATCTCTAAAATAGTGTTGCCTATCTTGTTTTAGAATCAGACAAATCAGATCAGGTTACTTTGAGATAGATCCAGTAAAAGTCAAGACATTCCTGACAACTTACAGTTTGAACAGAGTTCCATAGGCAGCGAACTTTCATTACCCTGCAAGATAAATGATTTTTAGGACATATCCATTCGTGTGGAGTGAGTATACCTCAAATAAATCGTTTCGAAAATTATTTTCATCGGTGATCATCAAATTAACGCAAAATTGCGAGACAGTGTCGCGATCGTGGAACGAATTATGCAAATTTTCGTACCCGTACAATGAATTTAATTACCATTTTGAAATAGCTTCGTGAATCTGTCGCAAAAGTCTTCGAGAAACAACAATATTTTCCAACAGGCAGACTCAACGGAGCTGGAACACAATCGCTGTAAAGGAGGGCTGCAGGACTGCGTATCGACGTTTTGCCTGTTTTTCCCTTGCTAGTCTATTCTATTATCGTCCGTTGCGAACGGATGTTGCGATTGGTCCGATCGATTTCAACCGCCGTCGTCGACCACGGAGTCGCGCCTCTACGTCGACATCTTCTCCGTGGTAAGAGTACGATCGATGTCACTAAATGATGTCACCGCTGAAAATGTGGTAGGGAAGGATTATTCCCGCGAAATAAAAGATGAGGATGTGGATAAGGATTTAAGATTCTCATATCATTGACATTTAATTATTAATATTTAAGCATTTATAACTATAAAGATGCTCTTATTAGCATCAACAATTATTAATTAATGGTTTGTCAATTTAATAAGTGCAGATATGTTACTATTCTGGTTCTGCCTCATAAATGAGAATGGATTTTAAAATAGATTGATTAAATTTGAATTCATTTTAGATTTAATTATAAATTAAATTGAAAAACTATTCATTTCCTATCCAGAATTTTGAATTGAGTAATTAGTGACCCATAAAAAATTGAAATTTCTTATATTAAAAGGCATAGAAATGTAATTCACAAAATCCTATAAATGTATGAAAAAGCATTATGCGTGAGATATTGGGCACATTCAGCGGACTCAATAGTTGAGTGAGCGTTCGCTATTATTAGTATATTCTTTCAGATCTCTAAAATGCTGATTGGATCTAAAAGAATACACCAATAACAGCGAACGTTCACTCAACTGTTGAATCCGCTGAACGTAGCCACTGGTCTAATTTCCATCGAGAGTTTAAACCGGATCAGAATGTAAGAACCAACCAATTGCAGTCGAGTATTCCCTTATTACAGTCGAACGACAGGGGAATGCTCGACTGTAATTGGTTGGTTCTTACATTCTGATCCGGTTTAAATCCTTGGTGGAAACCATTGATGTAGTATAGTATGTAATCATGACTGTGTTCCAAATTTATTGTCAGTACTAAAAATGTTAATTCGATGTCGATTTTATTATCATTTCTGACTGGGCAGCCGATATATGTCGACGTAAATTGTATAACTGGCGCCAAGTTAAATTCCACAAAATTTTATGTATTATTTAAATAAAAAATTTGATATCAACCCGGGTCATGTTCATATATTACTGCCAGTTGACTGCTAGTACTGAAAATCTATAGTTTCCGTTACGTATATATTATATACTGTACTGATAACTGGAAGTAATATACGAACACGGCGTGGATTCCATGCAGCACAGAATTTGTAACAATATCGTTGAAGAACACTGCAATATAGTTGCAACATGCGATATTGCTGCAACTTTTGTGCTGTATGGGATAAAATGTTTCAAGGCCAAAAATGATTTCAGCATCCTATTTGCAAAATTATGTAAAATTCATATAGAAATATTTAAACACTAAGATGTGCTTTGACCGAATATATAAAGAATTCTTATTTAATTAAATTAATTTTTTTTAGTGATGTCATTTTTGAAATAAGAGAACGTTATATAGAAAAAGCAATTCATTTATTGTGCATTGAAATCTTTTGTGTTTTTACATATGTATTGTACACACACACACACACACACACACACACACACACACACACACACACACACACGTGTATGTATGTATATATAATTTATAAGAATTCCAGGAGTTTGAAAGTTAATTTTTTTTGCTAACATAGATTTTCGGTATATCGACGTTAGATGTCAGTTTTGTGCATTAATCATTTCGTCATAAACATATATATGCGAATGTTGTTCGATAATTGCTATGTCTTTTTCAAGTTGTTGCAATTCGCGCTCCAGCTTCGCTTTCTTCTGCGCCTTCGGCATCGTGTCCACGAGGAATGGCAACTTCCGGAATCGCTGCATCGCTTCCTCCCATCTTTGCTTCATGCCCTGTTTCCGGATGTACTCGGTCACTTCCGTCCAAATTAAGTGGAAACTCCGAGCAAAGATATCCAATCAGATACATACATCCAGCAGCTTCTTTCGTTCCTCCTCGTCGATGTATCGGCACGCTGATACTTTTGGTATCTCATCTCCATTAAACGGTTCAGCCGCCTCTGCTCTCGTATAGACTTTCACGATACATCTCGGTATTTTTCCATAGTTCTGAAAAATATTGATCGTAAAAATGAAATATTAATTTGACAAACACAAATTAACAGTAGCATTACATCGATTTTCCCATTCAACGATATAAATGTAATATAATTAACTAATGTGGCCAGACATTTTCGGATCTAAAGCGGGAAACTTTGTTAAGTAAAAGAAATAAGATGCATATAAGATAAATACATTTGAAAGAAAAATATACTAAATTTTAATAAATATTTGTTAAAAATATATAAATAGTGTCAATTGAATATTTATTAAATGTAAATGTATATTTATTTAGTACAAGAACTATTAACTTGTATATTATATTTAGCAAATATTTATTTTTTATAAATAATATATTAGTGCTATTTAAATAATTATTTAGTAAAAATTTAGTACATTTTTTCTCAGTATATAATACTAGGGATGCATCGGATATCCGGGAAATATTCGGTATTTTTTTACTATCCGATAACTGGATATCATTAGAATTCAATAATATTATAATTAATTATATCTGGCTGAAATTTTATATTGAAAATTTGTATTGTTAATACAGAATTTCATTTTTTTAGCTAAACTTCATGCACAATTCATCTCTCTTTTCTCTTTTTATTTTCACGTTGGGAAGATAAAGAAAATTATTATTGTTTCTTTTCTTGTTTTCCCTTTTTTTGGAAGCCTTGTTCTAGATATCCGATCAGATATCCAAGGAAATATCCTTCCCCGGTATCCGGTCGAATAATTGCCCTACCGGATATCCAACTGGATATTGGATATCTGAAAAAAATATGGCATCGGATGTCCGATATCCGGTATCTTATAATTTTATGATCCCTAATAACAGCAATTTATTTTTTAAGGGATAACAATTATTTATATTTATTACTCAAAATTATCTGTTTTAATAAAAAAGATAAATTTTTAAGAAATATATATAAAATTCTTGGCAACTGAAAAATCAAAATTAATTTTTGTATTTTATTGATATTAAAATATACAAACTCTTAAAATACAAATTCAAAATAAGAGTTTTTTCCGTTACCCATTCTTTGCTCATTGCAGAGAGAAAAATCATTCAACTGCTACATCACTTCCTGGAAGCGATAATATTACATATTCTATGATTTAATAATTTATAAAATATTTTTTCAGCGAAATCTTTTTTTTTTGCTACAATCAGGAAATTTGACAAGACAGCGAAACAAACATCTCAATGCGGGACTATTTTACTAAAATTGAGATCTTTCATCGCATTAAATATAATACATATATGCACGTGACACTTACGTGATTGAGTAGAAAATTATAACATTGATGTAATTGTTGATGTTTACTGATAAGCTACAATTATTGTTTCATAACTAAAACTTGTCACAATTAACGCTCGCAGCTAATTGATTTATGATTTATATAAATACATGCAAAAAGAGGCGATTTTTCCAAAATAGCTAGAAATCAATTTAGAAAGCGTCATTAAAAACCAAAAATAATTATCCAGAACAGCGAAAAATAACACGAAAACGAGCAGCAGGAGTATCTTGCTCCGCACACGTGATACTCATACTTTTTTGTGCACATAAACCGGAAGTAATCCGCTCCTCTTTAAATCATGCGTGTCGCCATAACGAGTGTCGACGGATCGTTGTTTGGGTTCTGCCGGATAAGAACGTTTCGCGCGAAGGATATTTTGTTTGATGAAATTCTTTTCTCGTGTGACGAATAATTTTTCTAACGAATCCGCCATTTTGTTCGTCTTCGCGTATCTATGGACGACTTCGATCAAACAGCAATTAATTCAGCGATTCAGCGATTGATTCAATTCAGAATTACTTAATGCAAAATTTCTTATTCTCCTTTGAATCCATTCTAATTCATTTCAATCCATTCTCCTAAAAGAAGAGTACGATCAACGCGATGTTACAAATACTTTATAAAAATGCTTTAAAAAATAAAGCTTTACAAATACTTTACAAATGTTTTAATAAAATGCTTTATGCTGTTTAATTATTTATGATTGGCTGGCATGCTGAATTTATTACAGCCCTTTATATCAAATTCCTGACAAATAACTTTTAAATCATGCATTCAAAAAAGTTTTATTTCTTGAATTTGATTCATTCATTGAATTAATTTGTATCTTATGAATATAAATAAAATATTTCTTATTTTTTAAATAAAATAATTTTTGTTTTTTTACAGATTTTTTTTAACATAAAAATAAAAATTAAACTATAAAACGAATTGTATAGTGTAAAATGAAAATATTTCCATGATAGGAAATGCATTTTCTATATTACATGTTGCAGCAATATTGCAACGTTATTACAGCGATATTGCTGCACGTTTTGTGCTATGATCCAAGCTGGGATCCAAGCCATGTTCATATATTACGGCCAGTTGTTAACAGTATAATACACGTAACGGAAATAGATTTTCAGTATTAACTGACAGTAATATACGAACATGGCCAAAATAGATATGTATTGTATATACATTTCAAACTGCAGCGATTTGAAGAAAAATGTCGGACCAATCATCGACGAGACTATGTCGTGGCCAGACTTTGATCATAGGGTCTTTAATTTAAGTGGTTTATGAAAATATACCTTAATGTCCAACATTAACCCATACGTTTCGTCTACATGTATTTCGTCATTCATTGTATCACCCGTCACCTGGATCAGTTCTGGAAAGTTCCACGAGAGTAGAAAGGCGCTGAAGCTTGCGTACGATTCTCGGCTATTCTCTTCGTTCTCATTTTTCGCGTGTCTGACGTGTAGAGTCAAAAATCCATTTTCTATTGATTGCACAGTTGAATTTTTCGAATTCCCGAGCATCCTAAGGCATCTCACAAAATGTCATTGTTCGGATCATTCATGGGCGATGACGATCTTTTTAACATCTTTGGGTGAGTTCTCCGTCGTGATTTCATTTGGATATGTATACATGCTATTCCGGAGATCGCAGTTCTATTTGAAGTGCAATGGCTCATAATGGATCTGTCAAATGTATTGTTAGCATTATAACTGTGTTTGAAGTTAAATTTCAGAGAAATTTAAGTTAGAGGCATAATTTTCATCTCTTTACAAAGTCAAGTTCTTAATGGGCATGTCCGACCTTTAATATGTGCAAACGATAAATACACACACACACATACACACCCACGCGCGCGTGAGTGTGTGTGTATATATATATATATATATATACATAAAATCTTTGAATTGATTTAATTAATAATTTTTTTTATTTTTTTAAAAATATTTTTTTAAAAATATTTTGCATTATAAATTCAAAAACAAAATTTATTTATAACTATGATTATAATTATGTTTTTAAGTATGACTTGTAATTATAGAATTAAATATTAGCAATATCCAGTAAAAATAATATATTAGGTGTAGTAAAAAGAAATCCATTATTTTTCCAATAGATGGCTTTAGTAATCTGTATCTCGTTTACACGTGATATTAAATTACTGAAAAATATATTATAGTGTCATGTATTGTTAATTATTTATAATTATTATAGGATAAGATATTACAATTTCGAATATAATATAATTCTAAAAAATAAAAGTATTCAATTTTCAAAGGTTCAAGTTTGAGTTAATTCTGTCATTGTACTTAAGGATGTTGAAGAGTACTAAATAGGAAATAAAAATTGGATTTAAATTTGAAGAATTGAATCTTAATTTATTTGAAATTGTACGTTCAAAATTGTATCATTTAACCTTAAATATAATTAATGTTATTAAAAGATTTCTATAGCAATTAACTCATATATCATGTTTATTTTCTTTTATCATGGTGTCCAACAGTCCTTGAATATCTTTGGATTCTGGAATTATACTAGAATTTTATGTATTCTGGAAAATTTCTAGAAAATCTCTGAAATTTCATGGTTGGCCTAGAATTTATCATTCTTTTATTTCAAAAAAATTAGAGCGTGAAAAAAGAAATAAAAAAGAGTTGTGTTTGGGTATAAGTTCTTTCTTAAAGATGCAATAAGTTACTAATAGAAAATTTGGATTTAATGTCTAAAATAGAATAGAACATAGAAAAAAAAATCTTTTGTGTTGACAGAATGTTTGTTTGATATTATTTATAAAGTAACAAATAATATTGTTTCAAATTTATTAGTGTTTTAATTCATTCATATAAAATTATAACTTGAATACCAAGCATGTAATATTGCGCAAATCGATGAAAATCAATTAAGGCTCCTGAATAGTCATTCTTCACTTCAGTCATATGATTCAATATGAGGTAAGTACTCAGGAGCTTTAAATAATAAAAATTAATCGATGAATAAATTCTGGAAAAATCAGAATTTTTACCTGAATATCCTGGAATTATTCTTGAATTGATTAGAACCAGATTTCATTGGATACCATGTTTATATTTCTTTCTTAACATGTCTTAAGAAAATTATTATACATGCATATGCAAATTCAGAAATTTAAAAAGAATATATAAATTATGGATTGTTATTTATGATCAGGTCGTCCATGCATACTATGAGGCAAATGAACTCCATGATGAATTCTATGTTCTCTGATCCATTCGAAATGATGGGACAAAATGCACTTGTGCCACGTTATGGTAGAGGATTTAATGATATGCCAGTTTCTCTCTTTGATCCTCATTTTGGAAGATCATTTGATTTTGTAAGTATAATTGAAGATAGTTAATGTAGTTGTGTAATAATTATTAATGGTCTAAAATTATCATTACAAATACATTTAACTTTAACACAAATTAATGTATAGAACAACATGGCAAGTAATGGAAACTGTCATTCATTCATGAGCCAATCAGTAATGACTATGTCCAGTGGTCCCGATGGTCGGCCACAAGTTTATCAGGAGACTATGTCTACAAGAATGGCACCTGGTGGCATAAAAGAGACCAAAAAGACAGTAAGCGATTCTCGTACTGGAACCAGAAAAATGGCTATTGGTCATCACATTGGTGAGAGGGCACATATCCTCGAAAGAGAGCGAAATGTGCAAGGTGATGAAGAAGAACGACAGGAGTTTATTAATCTTGACGAAGGTTTGATTCTTTTTCTGGCCTTAAAAATTTAATTTGACATATAAAGGAAAATCTTTTTTTTTCTATATAATATATAATATATAAATTGTTTGTTTTTATATCTATTATAGAAGAAGCAGACAGTTTCAATCACGAGTGGGAAACACGTACGCGTCGTGTTGCTGGTGCAATTGGTGATACAAATTTGGCTAGTAATGTCAGGGCTAATCATCCATCTCCGAGACAGTTAGCTTTACCATCTACCACGGATGTACCAACAAGGTCAGTATCTTAGAGAACAGAATGGCTAAATATATACATACTCAAGTAAAAATCTTGTTCAAGGTAGGAGTATATAAACCTTCATTTTTTATTGCATTCGTAAATTATAAAATTGCATGATACTATAATAATAATACATTTCATAATATAATTTTTCACTTTCTTCATATTTACACTTTTTAAATCTTTTTTCTAATTACTTTTCACAATAGCATGTGTAGTATTACATTATCATAATCCAAAGAAAAAAAAGAAATGTTAGGATAGAGTGGGGCTAATTCCATCAGTTTCAAGTACTTGTTAACAGTTTCATATTACTTTAAAATAATATGAAAATTTACAATAACAATATTTCTTTGCAATGATGTTCTATACATTATACAATCATAATTGCTCCTTGAGAGCACAAACACAACCTTTAAATAATCAACATGTGTTGTTCAGAAACATAAGCATTATTGGGAGAAGTGGAAAAAGCTCCACTCTTAATTTTAATATATAACGAAATATGTAAATAATTTTTTATATAAATTAATATCAATTATAATTAATATTTATTATGTATTAGGTGTTGGAATTAATTCGTAGCGTTTTACAAGTGATGGGAAGTACTTTCATTAATGTATTTTTTAATGCTCATGTGAAATAAATAACATTCTTTCATTAAAAACGCTACGAATTAATTCCAACACCTAATACATATTTATTAAATTAAATTAATCTGAGTGCAAATATTAATTGGCTATTCTACGAAATATTTTTAGTAAATATTTTAGAAATTATTTTAATATTAAATTTTAAACTTTGTTAAATTTTGATCATTTATTTTATTTGTTAATAAAATTAACAAATTATTAATTTTAGTAATAATTTATAAAAAGCATTGACAAATTTTATATTTGCACAGCAGATATATGAACTGGATATAGACTCACCAGAAAATAATAAATGGAAATACGGGATTTCATCATGTGTGGCCATACTTTTTATTATATATATTACATATCCTCATTCTTTCTTTCTATATGTAGTTTTGAAATAAATATGTGCATGTTTGCTTTTTAATATATATTGTTATAAAAGCATGTATGTGTATTATTTATATATAGTAAAATCTATATTTATAATTTTTTATGTATTTTACTATACAGTGTCCGCTAAAAATCCCGGACCACTTGAATAATTAATAGTGAATAGTTTCGAGATATAGGATTGAAATTTACAGGAATACAACGGGATCGTGAAATCTATCATTGAACATAAAAAAACCCATCTTAACATTCCCGGGATATGGGGGGAGAAGGGGGCCTGAAAATCTTAAATGACATGTGGGATCGAGTGAACGCTCGTTTGAAAGAGCTTTTCGAGACGAGAACAACGCGGACTGACCGAGATCTCTTCGATATTTTTTCGCAGAGTTATAATCATT